ATTGACTGGATTCTCCGGAGGGCCCTACACCAGGGTGACGGCGTTGAGTTTGCACCCGGACACCGATTGACTGATCTCGACTATGCCGATGATATCGCCTTACTTGCTTCAAACGTCAGAACCAGTAGTAACCATTTCGGAGATGGCCTTTCATTAATGCAAAAGATGCCTGTGAACATTCAGATAAGTCCAAACACTAAGAATCCAACATATCACCAACTGGACGTTAAGTTGCTGGACCTATCCCCAACACTTGAATAAAAGCAGTGGACAAACTGCACAAACTAGACGAACTAAGAGACTTAGTTGATGAAATTAAGCCAGACATTATGGCATTCACACAAACTTGGCTTACTGAAGATATCGCAGATTCAGCAATATCACTTAGAGGATATCATCAGTTCAGAAGAGATAGACTAAGCCGAGGAGGAGGAGTCATAATTTATGCCACTTGCAAGCTAAACGCTATGGCTGATGTACATATACCGGTACGGTATGTGGAACTGCTAAGCGTTACCATATCTACTAAGAATGTCCGATCATTGACGCTTTCGGTGGTGTACCGTTCAACTAACCAAACTTCTGACCAAGATCTCATGCTCATATCCGAACTGTATCAAGCTAGCGAGAAGAAAGATGTCCTTATCGTTGGGGATTTTAACGTTCCTGGCATTGATTGGCTAACGTGGACTGCACAAGGGCCGCAAGACAGCTTTAATCACAAACTACTGCAGTGGGCAACGGACAAACTTCTCTGCCAAAATGTTTCCTTTGGAACACGGGTCAGGGAATGACAGCAGTAGAACTGCCTTGATCTTATTTTTACCCGAGAGGAGGAAAACGTGTTAGACCTGCAGGACCGACAGCCACTAGGGTCAAGCTACCACATCACGCTCTACTTCAAGTACTCACTGTTTTCCAAACCCGTCCAACCCGAGAGGTGGGAGAGAAACATTTGGAAAGGGGACTATTCTCTTATGAGGAGGGAGGCGGCAGCTATATCATGGGAGACTGAACTGCATGGGCGAGCAAACGACAACTGGAATACTTTCAGTTTTTTTACTGAAAGAGATTGTTTATTCCAATTGTCCTCTCAGAAGGAAGACAATTACAAACCGCCCAAAATGGATAAACCCGGACTTGAAGGATTCTTTCAGAAAAAGAAATCGTCTGTGGAGGCGTTACAGATTAACTGGCTCCGAAGAACACTTACAGGAATATATGCGGCAACGAAACGTCTGTAAAAGTGAGGCCTCAAAGCTGAGAACATACTCCGAAATTCGTTGGAGCATCCGAAATTTCTATATGGTTATATACGAAGTACTGAAGGACTCAGAAGCTGATCCCTGCCCTTAGGTCTGCAGATGGAAATGTGGAGAGTGATGACCAGGTTAAAGCGTTCCTCCTTTCCGACTTCTTCCAGTCCGTCTTCACCCGGGAACCTAGTTCTATATTTGCCCATCCATCCATTCGCCAACCAATCTCTCCTCCCAGTAGCTTCCCCCCTTTTATCCCCTCCCTGCCCTCCTTAACCGTGGAACCACTCTTTTCATCTACCATAGTTAGGGCCGAGCTACTCCGGCTGAAACCTGCCACATCGCCTGACCCAGATAGAATTCCTGCCCTATCACTTCGTGAACTTGCTGATGAACTGTGCAAGCCCTTATCCGCAATATTTAAAAAGTCATTTGAAGACGGCGAGTTACCGGAAGAATGAAAGTGCGCACTCTTTACTCCGATCCATAAAGGAGGCTCAAGACTTGACTGCGGAAATTATCGTCCTGTCAGTCTTACTTGCATCGCGTGTAAAATAATGGAACGCATTATCAAAACACACTTGATGAAGTACCTGGAACAGAACAAAATATTGTCCGATGCCCAACACGGCTTTCGTCCAGGACGCTCCTGCCTAACAAGTGTTCTTTACTCGCACGAGAAATGGACACGAGCTACCGATAAAGGTTTCCCAGTAGATGTCATATTTTTTGACTTCAAGAAGGCCTTTGACAGTGTCCCACACAGGCTTCTTTTACAAAAGATCTGGGATGTAGGGATTCAAGGGAGAATGTTTAAGTGGATCAGAAGTTTTCTGTCCTCCAGACTACAAAGAGTCGTCGTTAGTAATTCTACCTCGGAATCGGTAAAGGTGGAAAGTGGTGTCCCATAGGGTTCTGTCTTAGGGCCAGTACTCTTCCTGATTTATGTTAATGACTGTATCAGCGAAGTGAATTGCGAGGCTCTCATGTTCGCGGATGACATAAAAATATGGAGTGAAGTCAAGTGTGATGATGACGCAGAGAAGTTGCAGTCGAACATCAACAAACTGTGTGCTTGGTCGAACAGATGGCTCTTGAAGTTTAACGTGTCCAAATGCGTGGTTTTGCACCTGAACACCGGCCGCAATGCCTCTCCCAAACACCAGTACTATATTGACGGGACGAGGTTAGAAACTGTGGAAAGACACAGAGATCTGGGTGTATGGACGACCACAAATCTATCGCCATCAGAACACTGCAGAAAGATGGTCCAGAAGGCAACTAGTACTCTACACTGGATCAGACGTGCATTTAAAATATTTCCTACCGAACCTTACGAAAGACTATTTGGTGCCCTTGTGAGACCTCATCTAGAGTGTGGAATGCCAGCAGCCTCACCATGGATGAGGAAGGATATCAACTTACTCGAACAGGTGCAACGCAGAGCGACAAAGATGGTCGACGGTCTAAAGCATTTGTCTTATCAGGAGAGGCTAAATTTGCTTGGCCTATTCCCTCTCTCTTATAGACAAATAAACTGCAGTCTACTATGGACGTTCCGGATTGTTCGCGGCCAGGGTTGCTCAGTAAGAGCAGAGGACTTCTTTGAGTTCGCCCGTACAAACCAACTACGCGGCCATGCATACAAAGTCGGGAATGAGCGCACGCGTTTAGACCGACGAAAATGTTCATTCAGCCAGCGAGTTGTCAGGCCGTGGAACTCGCTTCCAAGCGGGATGGCAACGACTGACACAGTTTGTGTGTTTAAAAAAAACTTGCTCGTCTAGTTTTCGACGGAAATCGCTTGTACAGCATGACTATGCACAGCCAGTTTTGTAAAATCTGTCATATACAATGTTCCGCACTAATTTAAGTGACCCTATACACTACCTTATGATTAGGATTGAACTGTGATCCAATCACATTTTAAATTCCTGCAATTTACTTTTACTTTTGAGTATGAATCTGCGAAAGCACTGTACATAAATAGGGTCATCAAGGGCTCTGCCTGTAACCCTTCAATATATACATATATACATATACAATCTAGCAGTACCACTTGTCTTTTAAATATGCCTGAGCATGGTGGAGTAAATGACAACTGGAGGACCTTCAGTTCCTAACTGAGGATTTTTCCGGACGTAAACTGTCATATCAAGAGAAAAATGAAAGTAAACCATTAGAAGTGGATAACTATGAGCTGGGAACCACTTCGAAAATGAAATCATTGTTGCAGGCCCTGCAAACTAAGTGGTTATAAGGAGCCTTTGTAGAAATATTACCAGCAACAAAACATTAGTTAGGAAGTTCGAACTAAACGTATTGCACAATTTGATGTATGTTTGTATTTGAAGGGTTACAGGCAGAGCCCTTGATCGCAATATATACGTACAATGCTTTTTCAAGTCCGCAATCAAAATAAAGTTCCGAACATTTACAATGTGATCGGATTACCGTACTATCGAAATGGTAGCCGGAGCACATCTGTTCACTGTGAGTCAGTACAGAAAGTTCGTGCGTGAGTAAGTGTTTTACAGATCTGGATCTAAGCGGTCATACCGTGAAAGCCCGTTTCTGTCGAAAATCAAGCGAACAAGTTTTATTTTAAACATTCTAATTGTGGCGGCCGTCACGATCTCAGTTGGTAGCGAGTTAAATGGTCCGACGACCCTCTGGCTGAATGAAGACGTCCTACGGTCTAGGCGCATGAGTTCACTCTTGACATTACAAGGACGACCGCGTTATTAATTTGTGAAGGACAACTCAAAAAATTATCCGTTCTTAGTGAGCAATCTTGGCCACGGACAATCCGGAATGTCCATAGTAGACTGCAGTTTAGGTTGTTGGGGGCAGTCGTAAAGTCAACGTTGCGCCTCTCGCAAGTACCTGCATCTACGCATCTGAGACAGCCTGCTTTGGCACACACGTCTGCCACGATACTTATACTTTTGCAGCGGCAAATTTCGCTCCGGCTGACACCGCCTTCCGCGGCACCGGCCGCACACTAGTCCGGTCACAAAAGGCTCAAAAAGACGTCAGTTTGCCCAAACACTCAACTTTTTTGAAGTTCGATTGCAACTTCTTTCCGTTTTCATAGCACTCGACTTCACTCCATATTTTGATGTCATCCCCTAACTTGAGGGCCTTACAGTGCATATCGCCATGGCAGTCATTAACATAAATCAGGAAGAGTACTGGGCCTAAAACGGAAACCTTTGGAAAACAAGTTTCACCCTTGCTCATTCTGCGGTAGAGTTAAGAACGACGCCTCTTTATACTTTCGAGGACAGAAAATTCCTGATCCATATAAACATTCTTCGTGGAATTCCTACATCTCAGATCTTCTGTCAAAAAACTCCTTTGTGGGACACTATCAAAGGCCTACTTGAAGCCAAGATATATAACAGTTACCGCATAACCCTTTTCGTTAGCCTTTGAGAATTTCTTGTGCAAACAAAGGACACTCGTTAGGCAGTAATGTCCCAATTGCTGGCTACAGTTTTTTGCCTGCCGCATTTTGCACGGGGGTTCCACAGATTTTGCGGTTCCTACATTCGGAGGTCTTGCTAGAATAGGTACTAGGCTTGGTTTATATTTTTAATAGTACTAATTCTATGTAGAAACGGCCTCAAACAGTCATCTGTATAACGGTAGACTATTATCTCCCTCAACTTTGTTGGTGTGTTTAAAATGATCGAAAACTACAAATTTACGCAGTGCCTATTAAGTATGAAATAGTTGGTAATGGCCGATGATGTATGTGCAGGAAGTCAAGCACCGACAGTCGTGCAGATTTTGAGGTCGGATGGTATTTTTCATGTATTTAACTACAATTTGCTAGGGAGTTTGCAGAAGGCAGTTTTACGTAGTGTAAACAAGGAAAACAATTCTGTGTCAGTGCAGTGGCACGAAAATAACCACAATCGAATAAAAGTGGTAAACAAGTTAGCCATACGATTAATTTCAGCTCCCTATTGATGCACTACTGAGGCTTAACCCATCGCTTATCTACTACGTAAGTTGTTCGTTAACAGTCGTCATATTCTAGAAAGGACACTTTTATTCCCGCTGTAGCAATGAAAATTGCACACAAGCTCTGGCTGAGTTCGTTAACCTGGAACCGAGTCGAAGCGCATATCGTAATTCGTAAGTGTTCTTTAAATCTGTTATGAAGCTCATCGTGAGGCAGCTACCGCTTCGCCTATTGCATATCATGGCCATGGTTCAAATGCTAGTAAGAGGTTCATATTAACTGAAAAAACGACCAACTCACTTATCCTGCGGAGTAGGCTTTTTCACTGCACACGTTAGCCTAAATATAAAAAGGCATTTTATGTCCGTTTCAACCCCTTTTAGTTGACAGGGCAAGAATATCCAGGGCTTTGTTCGATATCAGAGAATGCAGCTTATAAGTGAAAAGTGTTCCTCTAATATAAGGCGTAAACTTCCCGTCAGCGACCTAACACAGGGCGCTCGATGGGGACCGAGACCACTCGTGCCCGCCAATGGTTGGTCAATCAGTTTTTAACAGGTAGGCCAAATATCGTGCTTTTGACACAGTTAAATACGATGAAATACACGAGACTGGGATAGTCCGAAATAAACAGTCATATCACAACTCTAATGACTGAAACACGGGGGTTTCCGAGACGTCGGTAAGGGTACATTTTGGTTCATCAATTCACTGTATGTAAAATGTCAATCCTTCCCTCAAGTTTGAAGTTAGTGTTAAAAAACCTGTAAATGAATCACTACGTGACAGATCATACGAGCATCTAGAACGAACTCTTAATTTAAAATTTTGTGTTGGTCAGCATGCAACTCTCAGGTACAATAAGCGAGGTTCCATAGGCATCGACAATTAAGACATGCAAGAATGACGAGCAGTTTTGGTTTATAATGTGACGCAAGTATCATAATCGTCATGAAGTATAACGGTGTTCGTTTTTATAATGTCACTTAAACGAAGCGTTTTTATCTGGGATCATGACTAAAGTTTAAGTAATCGTTTTTAGATCTTATCGACTACTTCTGATAACAGCGCATAACTTCGACGATTCACTTGCCTTCTAGTCCACTCATTGGCGGTTTGGAATGTGATAGTACCGTTCCGGAACCCGAAATCCCCTTATCCTCAGCACGGCTATCACCGGATGCTTCCCTTCACACTTCCTACTCTGCAAGTGTTCTTTCAACGATCGGAAAAAACTGCAATTCGAGCTCACATCTCACGTCATTAAGTGGACGTTCAACAAGGACTGACATTACCGGTACAGCCAGTTTCCATACCAATCCACGCAGACGCAATAGTAAAGTCGAAAAACCCCTGGACCACCTTTCAAGAATCACCGTGTGCGTCAGAAAAAGACCTCTCAATATTCGGGGTTAGAAAGCCATTTATAAACATCTCTGAAGGCGGTCTGCGCACATGCTCTGTCACAAGTTTTACTTTTCTTTTGCATCTTAGGCATTTTAAAGTGACGACTATAACTACGTTTGGCGCGGATACTAGTAACTATGAGCAGATACTGCTTTAAGATCGCCTGCTATTCTCACAAGTCCAACACTTCCTATGTTAGATAACCGAATGCAGCTTTGCACTCAATTGATGCTCCCTTATCCGCAAATTTTCATTGCATTGGTAAAGTTGCTGGCATGAACCCAATAGGTTGGACTTTCGACTCCGTCTCAGTCCGTGCATCCAAGTAATATGTTGACGTTGGTGATTAATTCGCATACCGCAGGCATGCACGCATTTCATTCAATATGTTCGTTCATGCAGACACGTTAATATAGATACAAAATAAGTGTTCGAAACTCATATTACCCTATCCTGCAAAATACGACTGACACCTGTCAATAATTTTTACCGGAATAGACAGATCTTATCGGAATGAGGCCAAACAGAGTGTATAAAAAGATACATTCTGCTATCTTAGGGTCAAATAGGAAGTTAAATCAAGTACAGCGCTCCTTATTCATGCATTTAATGCAAGCGACCCGGAAGTTGATGTCTGCTAAGTCTTGATTAGTAAGTATTGATGGGCACTAAGACCGCTTGGATTTAACTACTTAGCTTGTAAAAGGGGTGATGACTTAGCTATAGCAAGACAAAGGCATTCCAGAACCATTTAGATTACTTTCCCATTTAGTCCAGCGCGTTATTGAAGACTCATGTTCTAGGTAACTTGGTGTCGTTCGTCATTCGACTGTGTTCCTATCAGCTATTAACCTGCAGTGTGTTCATTTTCTTAAAGAAAAGGCCTGTGGAGACATTGAAATCGTAGACACATCGACACCCGGCTCCATTATTGTCAGTGAACCGCGATATCGTGTTGATTTTGTGGAATTTACGGAAAAGCAAACATTTCGCTTTGACTACACTTTCGATGAAGACGCAACTACGAGAGAGGTGGGTGTTCAAATACGCGTAAATATCATTCATATCAATCGTTTCCACCCTATTATTTTGAGCTTTGTTTTTAAACACTACGATAGTTCCGTAGTCTCTCTTATCATCGCTGGTGGCTATATGACTGGCTCCTACGTCTGCAGGTTGCACATTAGAAAGCGTATGTCCTGCATCTATCGGCGAACACCCTCGTAGCAAATTTAATAATCCGACCGCCAATATGCAGTACAAGGGATCCATGGCTCAGCGACAGGCGTTGAACTGAAAAATGTCCAATGGTCAGGGAATCGTGGTTCGAATCCAAAATCTAAAGTTAGATATGTATAGCTGCCGTCGACTTATAAGCTAAAAACGGCCATCCCAGTTTCTCTAGGTTTGCCGGAACTCTTTCCTATAATATTGCCCGCCCATGTTATAGTTTGAGCAGTGTATTGTAGGCATGTAAAAACAAAAGACTTTCTTCGAGAGTCGGCTTTTTGAATTATGAATCAATATTCTGTGAACTTATAATTTAAAAAAACTGAACTTACAAGACGAACGATTCGACCTCTGCATACACGTCTGCACCCTGCAAGCATTTGCGTTAGATATATTTGTACCGTGGATAATAGAAAATTATTCAAACCTTGACGTAGTCAAATATAAGATCTCTTCCAGACTGACTGTGAGCCAACACCACCATCTTCCCCCGGGTTGTCAATACTGTCATAACATTTAGTTTATGCGGGACTAGTAAACAGTTTCTGCTGCATTAGATCAGACTTTATGCTGCACCGCGGGTCAAAGATAACATTGACGATCGGCCCAAACGTCCACTGCATGTTTTCATTCGAATCATTCGAATCCTCTAGATTCTGCATGAGATCAGCCAGCACATTCGGCTTCTTTAAAAACAAGCCTTCTGTGCGGATGCAAAACATGACTCGCGCGCTCAGAACACATGAACCCTCCTAAAATCTCCGAATAATGGTGCCTTCTTTATATTTTTAAAATAAGTCTCCTTGACTGTGTCTCCGACGAAAAATTATGAATTGGGATAGAGGTTTTACTGGTCTAATCTACTTTATCCACTCGTTGACGCGTCGGTCGCATGTTGCGTCAAACAGTAGGTGAAGACGTTTCGGGTGTGACCACGCCCGAACCTTACCTTGATCAGTGTCCCCGCCGAGGCGCCAACTGAAGACTTGTGTAGACATGATGAAGGCTGATCGCGAGCGCATTTCCAGCCTTGTAGACTTTGGCTTGTTCGACTGGTATTGAAAGAGGTGTGATAAAGTTTGGAGGTAGAACCCAGTCCCATAAGCAGTAATGAGTGCTGCCGAAAGTTAAGAAAGTCAGACGAAACGAAAAGAATGAGGGATGTGGTTTTCAAGCGTCAGTACGCACGGTCAAATCATCATAGCTGGTCAACTAACCGCTTTGTCAATGAGCAGGTACTTGTTCAAGCAAATAAGACTCTGGATATTTGGTGTTTTCCGCGTAACGCCCGACAGTACAAAAGGCGATATCAACGTTGACCTTAAGTCGTGGGCCGAAGGACCGGAGGTCACTTGTTGAACCACGCATATTCCTTTGCTTTAGTAGTGACGACAATTTGACCGTTACAAACGACGACATCCACCTCTGTTCAACAAGATAGTCTTAGGCACTGACTTGTCAGTGAACTCGTCTACAGTATAACGGACTTTTGAAGGATCTTCCTCACTCCTCTCTCAGATCGCAAGACCTAGTTTGGACGACCGGTGTTGAGAACCGTTGACAACCTACGCTTCATCTGTAGCATACGAAGTTACGTTCACCATAAAATGAGCAGAGAGGGAACCAGGACAAAAGTGAATTAAGTTCAATCAGAAATGATGTCATTCACTAAAGAGCTTACTTGACCATCACAGAAAAATAGCACAAAAAGAACTAATAGTTGTGCACGAAGTAGATGACACCAGTCATTTCCCATATTTCAGTTCTTCGGAATCGTTGAAAGCCGGTGTGAATAGAATATCGTAGAACCCTTTCTAGTGCCATACTGAGTATGGTAGGACAATCTCAAATGCGATAGTAAAACCTTCCTTAGAACCGCCAGATTGACGTTAGCGATGGGAACGGACTTGAGTACTTGAAACAGGTGGAGAAGGGCACCCCATTCGAAACCTCAATCAGGTCTAAGATTATATGTCCCCTCTACCATTTGAATATTCCCGCTCGCAACCGACGGACAAGGAGCTCGTAGCTCAGTGGTTAGAGGCGTTCGCCTTCTAACTTACAGGTCGCAGGATGGAGCCCCAGGTGTTGCACACTTCTGGGTGGGCTATGACTGGCTGACGACGTCTAATAAGTCAGAAATGGCTATTTCAGTCTCCCTTGTCTTTGTAGGTAATGCTATTCTGCCTATATCAGGCGCCGCTGTGCGGTTTCTGGCAGGACTCAAGAGAGAGAGCACGTAATGCACAACGGGACGACTGAGTTTCGTAACACGATCGGTGAACACCTATATACCATATATACTAATATTGTAGGCTGCAGACGCTGATAGTAAACTAAACGGCAGGGGACTTGGTTTGTAACCGTGAACTCTGCTGTTTCTTCTAGTGCTCGGAATTTGGCGACGAGCCGTAGACTCGAAGCAAATACCGATCGGCTTTTGTGATTTGTTCGGTTGAAAGCACACTTTTGTTACTTCTCTGGGCAATTGTCGTTTCATGCTGCTTTCTTCACAAAAAGAGAATACCATGACGGAGATAGTAATTATTCCCCCCCCCCTCCCACAAATGCTTGTCTCTCTAATGTGTTTGTCCGGTATTGCTTTCCTTCTTCAAGGTTTATGAAAAGTCAGCTGCACCTCTGCTTCGCTCCATCTTCGAAGGAGCTATGGCCACTTGCTTCGCCTACGGGCAGACCGGCTCCGGGAAAACATACACAATGAGTGGACCCCCCGACATGCTAGCGGGCTATCCTGTCTTTTCTGAGGGTCTCCAGGGGATGGTAGGTAAGATCCTCTGCTTACAGCTTACGATGCACTTAGAAACCGAAGTCACGCATCTCTATTTTGCTCGTAGCCCTTGCTTGAGCATGATCTTCAAGCTCATCCGGTTTTGTACAGTAGCCATTGGCGGAAAAATAACCTTGTAGAATACTAACTAGAGGATGCCCTAGTGCTTGAAGCCAATGGTCTGAATGCTGCGTAATGCAAGCGTGCCATAGAACTTCCCTGAACTTCTTTCGGATGGTGAAATTGCCTAAAATGTTTACCGGCCTTAGAATGTTTGAGTTACCAAACGTTTGTTTTAGCCAGTTCAGTTTGCTCAGGCAGCTAGCCATTCCTTGAGAACGCCACTTTCTCTCGTGAAAAGTGGACTGTTCCAATAAAGACGAGTTCGCTCATTAGCCTAGTTGCTGGCGACCACCGCGTCAGCAGGTGGGGTATAGTGAAACGACATTCAGTGAGGGCTAGGTGCCAAATAAGCTTGCTCTCGGGTTCGACGAACAAGCAAACGTAAACTATCGGCGACTGTGCTACCAGGATGCGCTGGACGACATCTGTGACGCTGGCCAGCTTAGGAAATGCTGTAAAGTTCGATGATGGCACTCTGACCTAGCGACCGTGCGCATTCATTAAATAAGTCTGTTTGCCACCTCTTCTTACGATTTGGTTTTTGGGCTAAAGCACTAGAAGAGAAAACCTCGTACAGCGGAATCTGGTAGAGCGGAATCTTGATGCTGGATGCTGTACTGTGTGAACGCCCCCAAAGTGTGGCACCCAAAGTCTGTTGTCTGCACTCCCCATCATCATAGCTTGGATAGTTGCTGCCTGTATAAATTTCGAACCCTCTCTCCGTCTCGCGGGAAAATGAGGTCCAGTGAGTCACATGCCACCTCACCACATATTACAATCCCGCATGTAGCTATCCAACTAGATACCGTGTTGCAATCGCCCCCTTACGACATCTGGGCCGTGGATCGTTTGCGTAGGAATCGGTCAGGGAGCGTTTAGCTTCGACTAACTGAGGTGGGACCTAATCGGAATTCGTTACATGTCAGTATCAGCCGTTAACAAGCAGGCATCTTTGAAAACTGTTTGAAAGACATCCTTGCTGTGATCTGCTAATTGCTGTCGGGGCCTGAAATGTTGTGAGACTGGACTTGAAGGCAGTTCATCTAGTCAGCTTATGAAATGCTTTTGGTTTAGCTGTAGACGCGACAATGTGAAGATAATGTTGAACTCTTTCGATCAGAATTAGCTGTTTGTCAACAGCACGGAATTCCAGCACAGCCACAAACGTCCTCTGACCTTGTATTTACTCGACTACTCCACAGGTAGTCAGACTAACTCTAATCTAGTGGGTTGAGGATTTCGCAGCCAGTTTCAAAAAGCTAAATCAATACGTGGAGCCGAGGCTAATAACGTCTCTAGGTCAAACCATGTGCCCGTTCGCACATATTTGACCGTTCACATCTCATCTGCACCCAAAGGATTCTGTGTAAGACACCTAGATGGCAGAAAACGATGATCCAGAGCGCGAATCTGGCCTCGTTTTACGACCCGAGTCGAAGGAAAAAATAGTAATAAATGGTCATCATTGAAATTTGCACTCTATGAGATAACTAATAAAGTTTTTTCGATTCACTCTGCGGATCACAGAAAGTGACTGAATCAAGGGAAAAACCCTGCAGTTGTCCGTCTACACGGCTCGAGCCAGGTCCCACACCAATGCTTTTTTTTCTGTCAGCACCAAAAGACGGCAAACTCTGCTTGTGGTGTTAGAAAAAATTGGACTGAAATGACAACCTCCATGGATCAGGTCTTAAACGTTGCTGACACTCCAAAGTCGGTTGGACGCGGGAACATGGACCTCCCGCATCACAGGTGACCTTGTACTACATTCCAGGAGCTACCTAATCCCGTGTCATAACATGAACCCTAGTCTTAACCCCAACCCTAACCTTAAAACTGACCCTAATTCCTCAGGGAGTTTAGCGCAAGACCATCTGTGATATGCTGAGGGGTACTTATTCCCTTGGCCAGCGAGAACTATAAAATTATGCGTATAGTTAGTGGTAGGCCCTCTGCAATTGAGTGGTTCCGTTCACGATTTGAATGGCGGCTTCATTGGTGAAAACTCGACCGGGTTCAGTCACATTCTCAAATTCGATTACCAAGCCATCACAACCTCGCCTTCCTCTACGGTAAACCTCTTCCTCAATATAATGCGTCCCAATTCAGATATATAACACTGGACTGTTCAAGAACAAGACGCACATAGAGGCAGTATTTCAAATGAAGTCCATAAGTCTTGTGTGGACACTATGGCGTCCCAAATCCGCGAGGTGATTGTGTAAGCGTGGGGAATGAGCTCGCTCTAACTAACTAGGTATCGGCTACCCTTTTGCCTACTTTCAAGAAGTGAGGTAAAAAGAAGCGTGGAAACTACCGTGGCGTAAGCCCTATTGACGTTGCTGTAGCCGCTTCTGCTATTTTCTTTCTCAGACAGTTTTAGGCTGTGCGTGGCTTTAGGATTAAATCTAACTAATCCAGATCGCGAGCTAAACTTGAGCACACTGTCAAACCATTTACGCCGTGACACATTTTTCTATTCCGCCATGACCCCAGTAACCGACGAGTGCCTGCTTTGTTGACTTCAGCGCAGCGCACGATTCCACTCGTCGGTAGTCCCTGTAGCGGATAGTGACAATGGAAAGTATGTCGGCTAACATCGTTGCCATAATTCGGGCCTTCTATCGCTCCATCACCTCGCGGGTTCTGATATACAGAAATCTTTCCATGCCATTTAACATTCGGTCGAACGGTCAGCAAGATTACAGTCTTTCGTTCATTTTGTTAAAGTACACCGCGGAGTAGATTCTCAGAAGGACCCTAAACGGTCGGCTGACTGACCTCGACTACTCTCATAATATGGTTCTGTTGACGTCTAATTTTGCTGACCTACGGAACGTAGTCTCATGAGCAAACGAGATCGCTAGAGTGCTTTCGACCTGCATCTCTAACCAGAAGTAGGCACTCCTCGGGGTTATTTGCTGGCAACATGAAGAAGTGGACAGTTTCAAATGCTTCGAAACGTGGATGCTGCCGAATAGACAGCGTCTCCGGAATCTATGCCCTCACATTTCTGAAACCTGCCTATGAACTCTACGCGACAACTCCACTGCCACAAAGATCGGCACGTAAGAGGCATCTGTTCGGTCCCTCCGCTTATTATTTTACGAACGCAAGGATATGTGCGTGAAAAATGGGTAAATTCAGAGGTGTTTGACCGTCAGGCTCGTGAACCAACCCCTTGAGGAAGTATGCTGAGTTTGTCTCGGAAGACGCCGTCTGGATTTGCTGTAAGATCGCGAGGTCACACCTGAAAGACGACGGAACTGGGTGAGGAATCTCCATTATAGGCTCAGTGTTTCTATCCGCTATCTGACGTCGCTACTCAGACCTGCGTGAGTGGTTGGTGCTGATCTCTGCAGCTGGTGCTCTAAATCTTAGCGAATGTATCGTCTGAAAGATTGTAAAAACGTTGAACCATGTCTCGTATCGCTGTTAACATTTCTGATAGATTAAACAATTCTTGAACTGGCTGCTAATGTGTTTAGCCAGGCGGGTCCCGAGGAGAATAGCCTATCCGTATGCCCAACAGTTAGCCACTAACTTATTAGTTAGTCGCCTAAGTCTAGCTGCAAAGTAAAGTAGTCGCGATTCAGTTTCAAACGATATAATAACCGCTTTGTATTTGGCATGCGAGAAAATGAAGTGTATGCATACCAGACCTTCAGCAGTCGTGGGCGGTATCCGGAGATTCTGCCAAAGACTGCAAATGTTGCTTTCGGCATCTGATTTTGTCAATCGCACAGAAAGCTCATGACGCTTGGTCATTTTCGATGCATTCAGCGTCCTAGAGAGGCGAGTTCGTATTCGGCTTTATGATGAATAGCGATGCGTATATTGACCGCTTTTGAGATTGATAATCATCGAAATTCAGGCTTCCAGCCTACTGTTATCCTCCAGTAATTGCTACTTGAATTTTAGTCTGCAGCTTCGAGATGACACCTTTATTTCTCATTCACTTAAAATCTATCCTTTCACTTTTGTTCTAGTTTCAGATCTGTTTAAGCAACTGGCTGCCTCAAATCTAACCTCCACGCACTTCATAACCGTGGCGTTTTTTGAAATCTACTGTAATAAGGTGGGTGCCAGGAGGTCATTTTTACAAACTTTCTGCTAAATGCCTACTGATATTGCAAAGCCTACTTCTCCAAATGTTCGTTAGGGGTACTACCAAGGGCTGCCACAATCGACTCAGGAATTAAGCAGACGATCTCACAGGTGGCCAATTTCGAGACTGCTAAATACCAATCAAGAAAGGATTTTCCATCAGTAAATGATGTGAAAACACGCCTAAGTAAAGAAAAGGGGCATACGATCAGTCCTTATGTTGGTTTCGGTTTTTTTGCGTACAGGGGCTCATCAGCAAGGTCGTTCGAGCTGGAGTAACAAGTACGTACTGTTTGCAGTTCCCAACGGCCTGCCGACTGCGTTTCCTCGGTTGAGAAATGAACTGCTCCATCCTGCTGTCTGCGCGGTACGCGCGATACGCATACTGCCCTGTTTTGGTACCGCTCGAGCCACTATTTGTGTGCCGGTAATGCTTAGTTCCTGACCTGCATAAAGAGCCTGGGCAGAAACCTAAACAACAGGTTGCATCTTCGGGTTGCCCCTCCATGCGTATGCATTCATGGCAGGGCAGCTGTGATAAGGAGTCTAATAAACTGCCTAGGCTGATTGCTTGCGTCTAATTGATTCTCTATTCGTACGATTCTTTGTCATACGGCAACCTCCGGATACTAAGTGATGTCTGCGTCACATTTTTCAGAAATGCGTTCTGAGGTATCTGGTACGTACTTTGTAAGGCGTTGGCGGATCTTCCACTCAACGGGTTTCGCTGCAGATGCGTTGTGCCAAAGAAGGGGCACGAGACTTTAGACTCTATGCGTGCTTTCACTCGACCAGGCTGAGTTTGCGGGATTACCACAACCACCACCACCACCACCACCACCACCACCACCACCACCACCACCACCACCACTGCTGCTGCTGCTGCTACTAATATGAGTGCTGCTGTTGTAGGTGCTACCTCGACCGTTACCACTGCTGCAGTTGCTGCCACCATTCCCAATGGTACAATCGCCGCTGCTGATCCTTGTACTGTTGCCATGTTTAGTTAAAAAATGTAGACTGACAGACATAGAGAGGAACTGCCGACAATATCTGTTTCGGAAGAATATTCGGCCTCTGTAAGGAGATATGTCCTTCAACAGCCCCTTATGCTCATCGGTGTTGGGCCGTCTCCAGTCGGGGGACGCATGCGGTTGAAGCATGGTGGGGAACTACAAGCAACGAGCAACCAGAAGGGTGCAAAACAAGTTTGCAGTCATCTTTGCCTCCACCTTACCCTCGAGAACGCAAACATTTGACTTGGTAACATAGTGATCATATTTGTTTAAGCAAATACCGTTACCATAAAACCGCTTCCAACAGCGCCGGTATTCGAGTTCACGGGGCCTCCCCATCTTAGGCTCTTTTTGTTCATAATGTTTGCGGAGGATGTAATTGCGGTTATGTCGTTTTAAGGTGTATGACCTGTTGAACAACAAGAGCACGATTCGGGCACTGGAGGATGCGTCCGGGCGCGTACAGTTGGTCGGACTCAGCGAGGTCCTCGTGAGAAGCGCTGCTCAGGCCCTGGTGCTCTTACGTCAGGGTTCGCTGTTGAGGACCAGTGGCCAAACCTCCGTCAATGTCAACTCCAGTCGATCACATGCGATTTTCCAGGTAAAATGTATGTACCTCAACGGGCCTTTATTTTCGCAGTCCTATGCTACCAACCTTACTTATATCTTTCAGCCTGCTATGTTCATAATCCCTAAGTGCCTCCACAAGGATGACTGGACTTCTATTTGTTCTCTCAGTCTGCACAGCGTGTTTATTTTGCACGAAGTGGCCACATCGGACGAACAATCTTGAACCAAATAACTCGTGTTGCAAGAGACCGCACGTGAAACTCACGTAAATGGGAGGTATAATTCGTACCATATTAGTGCTACGCAATACAACTCCAATTCATTGTTCGCACCCCTACGTCCATGTTAAAACAGCCAAAGATGGACAGTGTAGTGTCTCCGGAAAAGGCGAGCGGTTCGATTCGGGAAAGGTAAGTGGATTTCTCTGATGACGAACACGAAGCCTGTCAACGCTATGGCATATCACGGCTTCCATTCTAAATTTGTTTCAAATAGAAGTGGGCAACGATAGGTGACACGGCGACATAATCCGCTAACAGTCTATATGTATTGCAAATATGACGAGTGCTCTGTCAACCATGTGAGCCAGACATATTACAAGTTGTTGAAATGATTGCGGCGAATTACATTATCGCGAGACTTGTTACGTGGTAGTTTCTTATCCTCACCTTGAATAAGTCTGTGAGTACCTTAATACAAATGGACCGTTGAAAGAATCCCGGCTTTGTGAGGAGAACTCAAATAACCGTACATTTGCCCTCCCGTCTACTTACCGGACACTGAACAGCCGAATGAAAAGAAAACAGTCCCGGGACTAATGGAAAATCGAACGACAATTTTGACGATTTGCTCACGCTCATTATGATCCCGATCATAAATTGGAGACGCCATGCAAACACAGACACTTTCACGTAGATTGAGCCTTCATCTTATTTTAAATTAGTTCCCGGTTAGTTTCCACTCAGTACTTTTTCATTGATAGCTTTTCTAACTTATGCCCTTACTTATCATCATCCGTTTAGCGACAGTGCCGTGGTAGGGAGTTGAGGGTAAGGGGAGAGAATCTCCACACAACAATGAAACAGTGCACTCTCTCGTCCTAAAGTGCCTAATATTTTTCTACAATAACCTTTCCTAAGGTGAATTTACGTCGGCAGCCAGCCGATACGAAGAACCAGGACCGCTCTGCCACTGCGAACTCCAAGGGGCAGATTTTTAGATCGCAGAATCTGGTTGGCCGTTTCTCGCTGATTGACCTGGCGGGGAACGAACGTGGCGCGGATACAGCTCGCGACGGGGATAAGACCGCTCTGAGGGAGTGCAGTGCGATTAACAGAAGTCTTTTGGCCCTGAAGGAGTGCATTCGCGCAATGGGCCGGCGTGGAAGCTATCTGCCTTTTCGAAACAGCAAGCTGACACAGGTAGTCATATGTCACCTTCACTGTTCCAGTGTGTTATCTTTGTGAGTGTAACTGTGTCCAAAGCGTGATGTTATCTGCTCTCCGTCAAGTTGCACGACGACTGTTTCCAAGTAAATAGAAGCTAGTCAGTTTGAAGCGAAGACCATTCTCAGCACTCGCTATAAGGGCGCACAACCTACGGATTAACCGAACAAGTCAGCACTACTCCTGAATCCATCATACCCGTGTGTTTTGAGCCCTTTCTTTTTACTCTGACAAAATACGTTTGATTAGATTCACCACAATTTCATTTTGAAAGCTACTGTTGTAAATGGCATATGAAAACGGAGCGTTATCATGACCCAACGAAACTGGGAGTTCCCTGCTCTTCTGTCACTTCGACTGGAGGATGTAAACTTGTTAGCTTGGATTACTTATTGTCTCCTCCTCCTCCTCCTCCTCCTCCTCCTCATCCTCCTCCTCCTCCCTCCCTCCTCCTGCCCCTCCTCCCCTCACAAAATACCAACTTTTCACATTTTACGAAAGTTCATGCATTTATTATATCTCACGAATTGTGTATGCTTATAAGTAGTATATGCCAACTGACGACCAAGTTTACTTTCTCACACACCGGACTCTCCGCAGGTCCTTCGCGAGTCATTCGTTGGCCCTCGATCACAAACCTGCATGATTGCTATGGTGGCACCTTCATTGTCCTGTTTTGAGCACACATTGAATACCCTGCGCTACGCCCGTCGTGTGAAACAACTGGGTTCATCGGACAACAACGTGCAAATTAAACCGCGTGAACGCAGCACTACTTCCGTCAGCGAAGCTATACCCAGCACTCGTTCTCGGCGCCCGTGTTCAGTCACCTCCTTGTCCGTTTCCTTGCCCAGCAGCCACGAGGAGACGAGTCCTGTGCATGGGCCAGCAGTGGTGGCCGACTCTAATAATCATGTCCAACTAGAAAGAGTGCCATCAAGACCTCCGGTAAGGTGATCCTTCGCCCTCACAGCCAAGTAAAGTAAATCACAGGCTACTTATTAAGACTGAGTAGTCAGCACACATTACATTAAACCCCGAATACAGAAGTGTACTCGCCTCCTTTCCGGGTTAACATACATAAGTGAATAAGTAAATACCGTTCTACCTGACTATGCATGCAGTTATGTAGGTTTCACGCGCACGACTTGCGTGCATGCAAATATAGTCAGAGGATAAACGACAGTGAGTGTCATTCTAGGGTTGTGGTTGTGGTTGGGGCTAATGTTAGGGTTTAATTAAAGATTAGCCTTGTAAATGGGGTCAGGCCTAAGGTTAGGTTAAGTTTGACCGTGACACACTATCCCATACAGTCTGGTTGGCAACCACTCTGTTAACGCTCTCTTAGTTCACATCTTTCAAATTTCGCTTTCCGTCCACGACCACGTTGGAGTACTAAAACAAACGTATGGCATAAATGCGGGTTTCCACAATGCCTTCTGCAAATTCCCTTACCGTGCCATGTTTTTGGGATTGTGCTCTCATATGTTTTCTCAGTGTTATAAGTTAGCTGTTTTTTGGTCTTGTATTGCCTTTTTCATTTATTCCAGTCTTTTTCAAAGCGCAAAACCACATCTGAAGTTGCCGCTATTTGGGTAGGTGACCATAGAGGGTTTTTCTCTCGATTTTTTCAATTGGTCTAAAGTAATGACACCAGTTAGAAGCGCATCAAAGGAGTTTGCGACAGGAGGACAATGATAGTCATTCAAATACCGCTCGGCATTCCGACCGTACGCCTCTTTAGATAACACGTTAGACTCACGAGACTCCTGGTGGCCCTCTTTACTAAAGTAATGACCACATTTACCAGCCGACGTTCAGCCGAAACCCTTTGTCATTGGAAAAAAAGCGATGTAAGGGAAGATCTTTTGGTACGAACAAATCTGGTAGGGGACCGCCTTCGCCCTTCTGGTTGGCTTGTAAGATCTTCCATTTTCTGACGAGTAACCACTTTTCGATGTACACGCATATTAATTTGGGTAGGAAACTTACTTCTGATCCGCCCGAAGTCACTTATGTGTCCTAGTTTTAACAGTCATGAGAATATTCGAATAAACAAATGCGTTTTATACGTCATCAGTGGAGAGTCTTTGCCAACAAACATTGGCTAACTGAGCGAACTGCCTCTTCATGTTCAGCGAGTGCATATTCAACGCAAGTATCCACTCTAAACCACCTATGAACGAGCCGAATCGATCAGAGCCAGTGTGACCTTCAAAACCCGTCTTCCGAGGACCCCTGTAGACATGCTGGTTTGTACCGCAGAAGAGGTCGAAAAGTGACATTTTGCTCGCAATAGTTGGAAAACAATAGCTCTCTGAATACTTGGTATACTTTAACTAATGTCATGGGCTCGTGTCGTCTGTCCTGCAGCGTAGGTGAGACCGCTGTCGATGTTGGTGCCAAGCAAGGGATATTTTCAAAATAACCCCAAACAATGTTGGATTTTAGGTTACAGAATATACCGCAGATTGGCTTTCCTGTGTGAGACACGAGCAAGTCCCCTCGTCAATGTCGACACACTGAACGTGACACAAAGTTCAGGCTACTGTGGTATTAGATCATAGCCAGATGCCGTAGTAGTAAATTGCATCACTTACCACTTTCACCTGTTTGCCCGTCTACCTTTCTTGAAGGAGGACAATGCAATATGCTGTGACCGACATTACGACCGACCTAAGGAGCTGCTTGAAAATCGTGCATGCCTATCAGATCTGGCAATCCAGCACGAGAATATTCTTCGGGTGAGATCTGTTCTCCACGTCGATACCTTTTCAGCCCCTTGGTGGGAGTGTTACGTGTAATGTGATTAATGAGCGTATAATTTACACTGCGTGATTGATCTCATGAACTGTTAGCCGAAATCCTGAAACGCGTTTTCGATTAGAAAGGATTACTAGGGTAGGGTTGTAGTATTGATAAGTATGCAGCATTATCCTATAGCATTTAGGGTTTAGCAGGATGTTGACTTTGAGATGCACGCCTTTTTGACCTTCTACAGAAACCATACTCGGTAAAAAATGACTACTTAAGTATCATGCCTTTTTTCTGTTGATTTTGGATGGTCTTATAAATGCAAAGATATTTTATAAAAACATTCACAAAAGTATGCTTTCTTTTACTAATTTGGCAGAAAATCACATTTTGTTCACATTTTATGCCCGAAGATAGTGTATATTTAGGTTCTAAAAAAGTGTATAATTATGGGATTTTTAAGACCTTGCGATTTCCATGCATACAGGACCCGATATGTCCATTTACCGATGCTCCTCATGAAATGTACAACACAGTCTGGATTTATAGCGGACTTTTATGAAATCTGTACGGTAACTTCTTAAAGGCATGGAGGAATATATGATTTTCCTTACACGGAAAGAATTCACCTTGTAGACTGAAATCGTTAAACGCTAATGCAATGGGAGATCAGGCTTGAAATTATTTGGAATTGGTAAACGTTTTTAGAACCTAAATATACACTTTCGTCGGGTATAATATATGAAGAGAATATGTTTTTCTCCTTTGTCTTTAAGAAAATACCACATAGAGTTCATGAAGTTTGCAATGGATTAGGACTGTGTTGTACATTTCGTGAAGAGAATTATTAAACGGACATGTGCGGTCTTGCAAGCATGGACATCGCACGGTCTTAAAAGTCTCATAAGTAGAAACCTTTTAAAACTAAAATATACACTTTCTTTGGGCATAAAATATGAATACACTGTAATTTTCTACCAAATGAGTAAAAGAAAGCATATTTTTGTGAATGTTTTCTATAAAATATATTAAAACTTATAAGGCCATGCAAAATCAATAGGAAAAATGCATGCTACATCAGTAGTCATTTTTACTGAGTGCGGTTTCTGTAGGAGGTCAAAAAAGTATGCATCCACAATTCAAAATTCTGCGGAGCCCGAAATGCTATAGGATACTGCTGCATACTAATCAATATAACAACTTTACCTAAGTAATCCTGCCTAGTCGAAAACACATTTCAGCATTTCGGCTATTATTTCATGAGATCGGTCATGCACTGTACAGTAGGTGTTGGAGTGCTCACTGAAATTCCGAAATGCGTCTTGGACTCGAAAAGATTACTTAAGTAGGGTTGGAAAATTTATCACCTTGCAGTATAGTCCTATGATTATTCAGTTATACTAGGGTGCCGGTTTCAATTAAACTTTTTTGGCCGCATGCAAAAAAGATACTCTGTAAAAAATGACTACCCAGGTAGCATGCATCTGTCTCATGAATTTTCGATGCCCTTCAAAATTCGATTATATTTCATGAAAAACATGAAAAAAATATTTATTCTTTGATTATTTAGAAGAAAATTATGTCTTCAAATTTAATACTGAAGAAAGTGTATTATTCAGTTTTAAAAGACTTTTCCAATTCCCGAATAATTTTAAAGCCGACCTGCCGTTACAGTTGCATTCACGGTTTCAAAACTGGAAGTCGTACATTTTTCGCCTACAAAAAACCATACATTTATCTATATTACCAAGAAAAGAGCATATGGAGTTCTTTAAATTAGCGGTGGATTTGAACCATACTGTAAACAAGCTACATTTATAAATGATGAGACACGATGTTTTATGAACAAGCATTCCACGGTATGGAAAAACCTCGCAATAAAAAACTTTTTTTAAACCGATTTATGCCGTTTCTTCGAACGTGAAATTGAAAGAAGACGTTACGTCTTACCAAAAGAGTAAACGAATGACTATTTTTATGCATGATTTCCATGATGTATGGTTGAATTTAAAGGGCATTTAAAACAATGAGAAAAATTCATGCCACTTAAGTAATCATTTTTTACAGAATGTTTTTCGTTCGAAAGCCGGCATGCCGAGGTAACTATATTATTATAGAATTAGGCTGGATTGTGATTAATTAAACAACCCTACTTTAGTGGTCTTTTTCAAGCGAAGGCGCATTTCAGAATTTCGGTTAGTATTCCATGCGTTAGCACACCTACTGTATATACTGCGTGACAACACTTGTTCTGGTAGCTGTTAAGGTGTGATTTACCGTTTACAATCGACTCAGGTTACCTGAAATATTTTCAGAAATGCTGGAGCCCGAACTAAAAGTTTCGAGTCCTGAAGGAGTAACTGGAACGCAGAAGCTGCGCGTTGTAAAATAGCAATGTTCATTTTGAAACGTGAGATTTAAAACAAGTGAGGGCATTAGGAGCCCAGCAGGACCTACGATCAGTGTTCAAACGCATGAAATGTTAACCGAATTCATGAGACGCCTTTTTGATAAAGCTGGCTTTCTCAAGTGGTGTCGTACTAGTGACTATCGCTCAGTTATTAAGACGTTTTAGTCACGGCTGAATGGGACCTTTTAGATACCGATTTTTTTGACCGCCAGCAAAAACCGCACTCCGATGAAGTGCATACTTGGGCAATAAGCATTTTCTTTGTTGATTATTGACGCCCTTATAGATTAGAATATGTCATAGAAAACGTACACAAACATATTCTTTCTTGTGAGCATTTTATGGCATATCACTTCTTGTTTCGTTGTTTTAGTCGAATAAAAGGTATCTTTCGGTTTTAAAAAGTTTTTTTATCCCCCAGCCGCCCTTTCGTCTAAGGTGTGCAGTTTACAATCTTTATGCTTTTGTTGTAAGGAAAATGATATATTCCCCGAAGTCAGTAAGAAGATACCGTATAGAACTCATGGAGTATGCCGCAAACCTCACAAGGTGCACTCATAAGTCGACAAGTAGGACGCTAATTAAATAAAAATTACACCAAAAATAGACAAATTGGACATGCTTTCAGAGTTTATGATCTCTTGCCATGTAGTTACTTACTATGGCGCGCAGCGACCGCTATGTGGTGCACACAATTCAGATATGCCAACGACGTCACAAATTAACGTGCTTTGAAAAATGACAGAATAAAACAGCCCAGAAAAAACCCAAGCGCCCGCATCGATTTGACCAGTGCCCAAAGGACGTTAAGTGAATAATATCCGCGGCATATTTCTTCTACTCCTGGGATTTACATTGAAAGGTGTTTTTTAGCCAACCGAACTGCCGGCTGTACCTAAATGCGTCCAGTTTAATTGCATAGCCCATCGCCTACGGCATTCAGAGATCGGAGGATTTGGGTGGCTTCATTAGACTCTCACAATCCGGGTACAGATACTTGTCCGAGAACACCCCCTCCCTGCCTCCCTCCACCAATCGTCTACCCTCCCCAGATCCCAACCCCAACCGTCCGACCCTCTCACATGGCCAGCCCGTATCTTTCCTATTTTACAATAAACACCAGCCATCTTGGTAGTGATGTCTCAATCTTCAACGCACGTTCCTACGAAAAATTAGCGTTTTCTGAGCAATATATCTTGTGTGACTTGTCATTTCAGTCGCTACCGAAGTGGTTTTACCTGTATCGCCGCCTACTCGGAAGTTGGACGCCTGAGCCCGAAGACACCAAATGTGAGGCTGTCGAACTAGCTGATTCTCATTCCCCTTTTTCCTTGATTTGACTGGTTTCTGTTCGTGCGTCGTTTTCTGATTCCCATCACACCTCGGAGGCTGCCCGATATGAACTTCAGATGAGCAAAAAGCGAATGCTTGCTTGCCAGTGAAAAGGTGTATCAGGCCTGGGAGAATTTCCATCCAAATGTAGGACGTGAGAATATAAACCCCACACCTCTATAGACGGCCTCTTGCTAAATTTGTTAAGGTTCCAATGTAGACCGAAAAGCGAATTGCAGTGGAGCGTCCGCTTAACGAGAGTAGCAAAAAAGCGAATTTCGACAAAGTTTTTGCACAGTCTCTTGATAACCTCTTCCTTCGTGTTCCTCAACCATCGTATTATTTCGTACAGTGTCTGACGTTAGACTATAACACGATCTCGTTGGTAACTGAAATATGCCGATTTCACGCAATCCCTGCTTATTGGGAATATCGCATTGCCCAACGAGGGTTGGCCAATACGTATCTTCGCTTCCAGCATACACCAACATTCTAATACGATGGCCCTATTGTTACTGCGTTGCTTCTGGTCTGTGGGATGTTTTCAGCGTGGAGCACCTAAACGCACTATCTTATCACAATCCTTCAATTTTGGGTGAACAATTGAAAATCCCCTTTTATCAAAGCAATTTGACCGTGGGATCGCATTTTGCCAAAGTAACCTGCGAAAGTAATCTTCCGGCTTGTTTCCTCTGACGTGGGCGCTAAGTGAGGCCAAATTTTGCGTGCAATGTTCAAACTCTGTTGTGGATGGCATGTGTATGATAGGATAGGATGGTCCATGTTTACGCCCCACGCTAAGCTCAGTTAAATAAAACTGACATAATAGGATGAGCAAAGACACTGACGTGATAAGACATGTCATGCCTTGGTTTCCGTTACAGTGGAGAACCCTTCATTTCCCAGCAAGACTTGGTGTTTTGCTAGCTGACGACAAATTTGTGGAAGTGGATTTTTAATTTGACTCTGTTTGGCCACTGTGGCCTATCGCCGTCCGCACGATCATCCGTGCGCAATGCAGGGCTGGCGGTGGGAAGAGGAGAGTGGTTGCCTTGTCAGCAAGGTCCCTTCGTCTCTCTCGTTTAGTTTACCCGCTTGGGTCGTCGTAGGCTAGGCCGGGGGCATTTTCTTCTCATCGTCAGCATAGATCGGTGGTCTCTTTTCCCACACTGCGACTTCTGTCCTTGTAAGTGCCTGTCATTAAAGACGCTACCACATAAAGCACCCTTACCTTTTGTGTAGTGTTTGGTAGCCAGTAAGTTTGCCTTCTCACAATGACAAACTTTGTGCACTACTTTAAGGTTATAATGCGCTTTGTTCTTTCATGCTTTTCAGACTACACTGACAACATTATCAAACTGACAACGAGGCACATGAAGAAATTAAACACTCTACGAGGTAAGATTGGGTATGTGTTATCTCCGACCGTCAACCCATCACTTTTCCATCAAACGGTCGCGACGCTTACCTGAACACGGGTTTGCTTAAAGTGATGCCAAAATGCTCTGCGTGTACCTCTAGTCTTTTTCGACGCCCACCCTGTTCTGGTATCAAGAAGATTTCGAGACGACCGGAGGTGGACATACCTGACTGACGTGTGTCTCCTAACTCCACACGTGCTAGACGTCAGAGAGCGGTGTCCAACCACACAAGCGAGACAACTGCATAAGGTCAAGTTCAGAAGTCGCCACAGTCTGACCCTGAGTAGGATCCAGTTATGTCGTCAGTTGGTGACCCTCCAAGAGGGACGTGGCAGCAAGCGCTTGACCGGAGTTTGATCGTACATCATTCCAAGCCCACCGGTAAATGACATTGAAGGCCGCAGTAGCCGTCACGTGAAGTTGCCATCTAATACGCACCATTCATGGCGTAAACTTGCTCAGTGCCGTAAAATCACCATTAAAATCGGCTGTAACAGCCTACGGCCTAGTTCCAGAGGAGGAGAACCGAATTGCCTCGTTTGCTGGCTGCCCTTCGGACCACGACGTTTAAGTCGCCAGATTTATAATGACTTAGAAAGCGTCCATTCGTTGCTATCAGAATTTAATCCTCGCAACACCTTTCGGTGGATTTGGATTGGGATTACGTGAGATTGCTGAAATGACTGCCGATTCCGTTTGCCACGTTTCGTACGGTTAATGGAAACTGCAACACTAATTTACATGCTTACGTAAATAAAATAAGTAGGTATGTTATGTTTATAAGCACTACAACCATTTGCTGCGGAAGGGCTTTATCCTACGGGAGTGACGCCAACCGATAGCTTACGGTATAATTTCGATTTTGTTTTGTCCTGGAGCCAAGAACCCTCAGGGCCAGTTGCATAACACGCAATAGCCAACGGTCGAACAATGTTACTGGCGAGGGCAGATTGGTCTGCCTGCCGGTGTAAGTTAGCGGCAGTCAAATCCCAGACTCGGGGTCCCAAACTTCTACTTCGGATTGACTGGTCGTCAATCGTTCGAATCCGCCAGCCTACGGGTTTCAAAAAAACTCTGCCTGTGCCACAAGATGTAACTTCGCTAATGCGATACTGGTCTCTCCGATGTGCTCAGGTCGCTAAAGGCTACATCGGAGCGGATGAAAAACGTACACTATTTCATCCCTAGGTAGAGCCTCCTTGGATATTATGCTATGGTATCCGGATGCGATGATCGGTGATTCGAGGTTTCTCAGATCACAACTCATGAAGGAGAGAGCTGGTTGAGTAATTTTTACTTCAGCGAGAGAGCATGCACGGGGCTCACCAAGCTGTGGCAGCATGCGTTACTCGTTTAAGTTTTTTGTCCGGACGCCAAGTTCATGCGCCTGAGCCCTGTGCGGATGCCACCAGTCGACGAATACAAACATACAGACTAGCGCCTAGGAGTCAACGAGCCGAAGGCCGTCTCATATTTGAAAGCAGTGCTTGAAAGGCGAGTTTGGCGGACCAATGGTGCGGCATGGGTAAGCGTCCGCTCAGACCGGCTCGAGAACGGACCGCCAGAATAGACCCATATTCATCCTTACTCACTTCGCCTTCTGGCTGCTTACTTGGTCCTTTTGGGTTCACTCCAGAAGTCAATCAGTTGAGAAAACTGAAACATTCATGCGGAGCGTGTTAGTTATTAAGGGATGACAAATTCGGATGTCTTAACTTGCGGTTGATATAAATGCTGTTATATGGGTGGGCAGATGGATAACTAGGAAGGAAAATGCGATTTAGGTTTGCAGATGCGGAATAACGTAAGAAGGACACTGAATGACCTTGTGCTAATTTCCTGGGAGGTTTGCGGTACGATTTGGGTTAATGCTAGGTTCAGGGTTGGGACACGCTAGTGAGTAACCTTCCTGAAATTTTGCGAAACACCGCAGGTATTATGGGGACCTTATTCTCGTGTTTTATCGAAGTGTCTGTGGTAAGGCCTTCTGTCCACCCAAACTTGCCACGCACCCTAGTTTTTTGAATCTGAAAACTCTATTGCCTTTTCTCTGTAAAATACCTTAGGCAATTCGTTTCTTGCAAATTTCTTTCATTAGATGTCCTGAAATGTTTAATTGACATCTACATTTCCTCCACAGAGGCTGCTATTCACTTTCGTAAGACGTCGGAGCATTCATCCGTGGACGGAGAACACATAGACCACTTATGAATGTCGCGGCAAATACTGCTACAACAGTCTCCCTCCTTTCGGGATCCTGCAGGATAGGATCAGATGCCGCCCACTGAAGGTCTCTTTTTAGCGGAACTCTTAAGGAGTCAAGCTGTAATAATAATGACGAACATGAGGGTTACGACAGCTTACAAGGACGGTTTTCCTCTCCGTATTTTTGAATCCCATGCCAACACCCCGTCCTCTCGCAGTTATATTTCCTTGGTTTCGAGCGTCCAGCGATGGGAAGAGACCGCCTCGGTGGTCAGTAAGAGGACACAGCGGGGACGTTGATCTCTGTTCGGCTGTTGGCGGAGCCTTTCTCTTTGTGTTCCCCCCCCCCTCCTCCTCAATCTCTTCCTCCTCCCACCTACTCGTAAGTAGCGCGGGCGTTCATTGGATGCAGCATGTATTTAAAAGAAATGACAGTCAAGTTAGTCATACGGTCTGCGATTTCGGTCTCTTTAACGGCAGCCCGAAGAAGGGTTTTTGCCATAATGCGTGCAAGGTGTTTCCACAGAGACGAGTGACGCGCAATTTTAATGCGTACGTCACATGTTCTACAGAGGTGTCGGTACTACTCGCCGGTATTCTTTGTTCTGAGACACGGGGCTGCATGTCCACGTACCCATAAGTTTTGTCCCAAACTTTCTGCCCTGAGAACTTAAGCTACCCTACAAAGCTATCCTCGCGCCCTCGTTCTGCTCAATGAGATCGTGCTTTGATACAGGATGCAATAATCACACTCAAAGAGCCTTACCGGAGGTGCCCTACGGCGATACTCTAACAAGGCAATAATGAGCTATTCTGGGACCCTTAGATGATATTTCGATCATATATGTTTATGTAGCCGCACCTGAGGTAAACAAACCGCAGACACCTGTAATATGGGACCGGTGGTAGTAGGGGTTCTTACAGGTGGGGCCGGAGATCGCACAGACGACTAGGTGAGATAAATGTATGCAAAAGAAAAGCTGTTGGGAATGCACGGTTGTACATTGAGTGGGCCGCAAAAGGTGAACATAGCAACAAGGAATCGCATTCGCCAACAGGACGCATACCACAACGTACAGAAACACCATGCCAACGTCATCATACCAACTCGAAATAATTAATTAGGTCAAAACTACTGTGCCCGTCTGATGCTTCTACATAACCACATCTTACCCATTTTCCAGACAGTAACTTATCTGAGATTGCGACCGCGTCGTATGTGGCGATAATTGACACAAATACGATGCTTAAAAGATAAGACCGTATTCTTCTATGAAGAAAAAGTGGGAGATCTTTCTCCGACTCTGTATTTATTACAGACTAAAGTAAGCCAATGTGCCTTAAGTAAATGTGCTTGGAAATGCCTAGACGCTTAAAGAAATATCAACGACAAATGAGCAACTACTGACATTTCGACCGTCGTTACCGATAGCCACCGTGTTTGTCAGAGCAAAGTAAGAGCAGAGACAGTGACTTGAGCACCGTATTCGTTGATACTGATAGCAGACTTGCGCAACATCTACCACACTCTCTCAGGCCCTCGCAACCTGGATCCGGTGTCAAGACCAAGTCAAGGAGACCAGAGGCGGGGGAGGACGCAAGAAGCTGACGCGGCTTAAACCCGCACCTAGGCGTACCACAACACCCCCAGATCCACACTGGACAGTGACCAGGATTTTAATCAAGCGCAAATATGAGAGGGTGGCAGGGATCCAGATCGGCGTGACGTCAGTCGACAACTGGGTCTGCCACAACACCGAATGTTGACATTTGTTATGGATTGCAACCCTTGACAGTAGAAGTAAGGTTTAAGTACGGTCAACGCTCTAGCCAGCCGAAATAAGAAACACCATCGGGAGACATAATATTAACCATATTTGGGTCAGGTTACATGCCCAGGAGTTTGTATACAAGATGCTGCTGTGTGTGCTCGTCCATCTATCAGTCATGCACTTGTGATTGTCAGAAAATTCCTTACGAAACCAGTAGGCCTCGCTGCAAGCAGAACATGAGTTTGCGGGGGAAGGAAACTTGTGGTGCGTGGTTCACGCTTATTATTTTCCTTGCACACAGTAGGTACCCTCTGTCGGATTCGAAAAGTTTACATCGTCCTTCAGTGGGCGCTGAATACCCCACCATTCTGACGGAGTGTTTCTAAGCAATCATAATCGTTGTTTTTCTCGAATAGGATTTGCTTTTTCCAAGGCACCCTTTGAAAGCGTTATGAATAGCAGTGGGCAGACAATCCAGCAGTTGGGTCGTCGTCGGCGATGTTGTCCGACGGGAGCTCCAGAGCAGGCTAAAAGCGGAGCGGTGAATTGGGCGTAGAATAATTTATTGTGATAGTGGACTTGCACGGCATCTGCCGCACTCTCCCCTTCACCGCCTGGGCTCAGTGTCATGATAATGTTGAGAATACCGACGAGGGGGGGAGGAACAGGAGGCTCGTGCGGCCGTACCCGCACCGAGGTGTACCACCACAATCTCTGGTATACGAAAGACGCTCGATTGGGATTTTAACCAACAGAAAGGTGAGGATGACACAAACCACTACCCGGCGGGAACGTAAGCGCATCCACCTGCGGGAAAGGTGTCATAGAACTGCCGGCTCACCAGAATGCAAGGGCATTATTTGCTGAATCGTAGCATAGCAGACGCACGTAGTCCATCATCCCTCAAAACCCAAGTAACCAGCCAGTCATCGACTAACAGTCACCATTCATATACACACACCCGTCATATGCGTGAGAGTGCCAGAGGTCGTGTTAAGAAGGAGCCGTTGCAGTTTGACTCTCAATCCATCACTCCGCCACTTCACACAAACACACACAACTGAGTAGACTTAGTTGAGGCGTTAATCGGCAACCTTCCAAGCCACGGCGCTTGGCACAACAAGATGTACACTTCCCGTTTAAGTGAGTGGTGTCAATTGAAAGCGTGCGATATTGGACGCTGTGTGAAGTTGATGTGTAGAGTTGCTGGCGAGGAAAGTTGTGAGGACATGATATGACCGACTGATGCCTACCGCTGTATTTCAAGGCTGTGAATGTTGCCTATTAGGCCCAAGCGGTTGCTGAAAGCGCGAGGGTATTTGAGGCGCTTACGACGAATGTATGTTTGTGCTTCAGCCGCCCGTTCGCCAGTCTCTGCGCGATGGATTCGAGAGTGATCGACCAGACCGATGTGTGATGTGAACGTACCAGGACAGTGTGGGCAGGATACGTCGTGATCGCCGGCGTCGCTTTCAATAGCATTGATGGGGTTGGTGGCGGTGGGCGCTGTTGGTGGGGTACTGATTGTGCTAGGTGTGTCGATATTGTAGTGAATTCCGCCGTCGTGAATGAGCATGTGATCGAATAGTTCCATGCCGATCGATTCCGAGCGCAGATTTCCCAGTTTGCAGAACTACACTGATAATGTTGAGAATACCGACGGAGGGGGAGGAACAGGAGGCTCGTACGGCCGTACCCGCACCGAGGTGTACCACCACAATCTCTGGTATACGAAAAACGCTCGATTGGGATTTTAACCAACAGAAAGGTAAGGATGACACAAACCACTACCCGGCGGGAACGTAAGCGCATCCACCTGCGGGAAAGGTGTCATAGAACTGCCGGCTCACCAGAATGCGAGGGCATTATTTGCTGAATCGTAGCATAGCAGACGCACATAGTCCATCATCCCTCAAAACCCAAGTAACCAGCCAGTCATCGACTGACAGTCACCATCCATATACACACACCCATCATATGCGTGAGAGTTCCAGAGGTCGTTTTAAGAAGGAGCCGTTGCAGTTTGACTCTCAATCCATCACTCCGCCACTTCACACAAACACACACAACTGAGTAGACTTAGTTGAGGCGTTAATCGGCAACCTTCCAAGCCACGGCGCTTGGCACAACAAGATGTACACTCCCCGTTTAAGTGAGTGGTGTCAATTGAATGCGTGCGATAGTGGACACTGTGTGAAGTTGATGTGTAGAGTTGCTGGCGTTGAAAGTTGTGAGGACATGATATGACCGACTGATGCCTACCGCTGTATTTCAAGGCTGCGAATGTTGCCTATTAGGCCCATGCGGTTGCTGAAAGCGCGAGGGTATTTGAGGCGCTTACGACGAATGTTTGTTGGTGCTTCAGCCGCCCGTTCGCCAGTCTCTGAGCGATGGATTCGAGAGTGATCGACCAGACCGATGTGTGAGGTGAACGTACCAGGACAGTGTGGGCAGGATACGTCGTGAGCGCCGGCGTCGCTTTCAATAGCATTGATGGGGTTGGTGGCGGTGGGCGCTGTTGGTGGGGTGCTGATTGTGCTAGGTGTGTCGATATTGTAGTGAATTCCGCCGTCGTGAATGAGCATGTGATCGAATAGTTCCATGCCGTTAGATTCCGAGCGCAGATTTCACAGTTTGCAGAACTACACTGCAGGCGCATCAAGGAATTCTTCAGAATGTCCATACATGTCGACGAAAATCCGTGTCGCCATCTCCACAAAAGAGCCCTTTTACTAGCCACCTGCTTCCTCTTACGCCTCAGGGCCTCTTGAATATGTCTAGAGATCGAGAACATGTAATCTAATTCATGCGCAAGTCACGGGACCTGAGCATTAAAAAGAGTAAGGTCTGAGTTTCTTCATATTTGCATGTAGATTTTATCACCGGGTACACACGGCTATTTTTCGCAGGCGTCCTTTACCAGGGATGATAGTAAGAAGAAAGAGTGAATGACATAGAGTTAACTAACCAATCAGCAAACAATGCTACGTGCGCTGAAGTGAATGCACCAGATCAATATTCGATCGGCTGAGTTTTAATCAGAAATTCGGATTTCAATCAGTTCGCGTTCATTCCTGACCCGAGCAGTTGTCTTGGTGGAAATGCAAGTGAACTGATGTCCAGCTTAAATTTTCGGAAGGTTGTCTGCAGTACTTTGTAACACCGTTGCACAATCGGCCCGCGATCATTTATGCAGGATCCGATTCTTCTTCCTCACACGAACAGTGGCTTGGTCTCCCATTCTGCGCACTCTTAGCTCGAATAACTTCATTGTGTAGCTGTAGCGGCCAAAGCAGTGTGCTTGTGTGCTACAATCGTCTGGCCAGATGCCATCTTGGAAGGACAAGATGGGGGGTTTATTGTTCACAGAACCCGGAGTTGTCCTCTCAGGCGGCAGTGGGCACTGGCGCAGCCAGAGCTGGTGTTGACTGCGTCCAGTCATTCCTGAGAGTCCCTGAGATAGGGATGGCAGTCGGTTTTGTAGGCTCGTGGGCCAAGCTCAAGTGGTGGCCAGTCAGTGTGTGTTGCATTTGCCGAGGGATGGTGTCCCAGTGGCTTGTTTTGCTGGTTGCAGGGAGTGGCGCCTTTACGTGGCTCATGGGTAGCCGCGACGCTGTGGTCTGGGACGGCTCGCTGCAAGGGGTGAATGACCTTGAGGCAGCGAGGTCTTAAACAATGACGCCAGACCGGTCATGCTGGCTGGCCACTACATGGGTCATGGTTAGACTTCGTGATTTCTGCTTCGCAACGAATAAGTGAAAGCGGTTATTTTGACGAATTTTATACTAATTACATCAGCAAGGGCATAAAACTGCGTTTGCTTGTGTGACCGCCAACTTAATCCTTTTACAGCCCTCTTTTGAAGGCTATCATAGGTCGAAATCAAAGCACTTTCACGAAAGCCAATTAGCGGAACTCGGGGTGGCAACATTGATAGATGTTATTTCGCACTCAACTAAATATGCCAATAAACCGCGAGACGCGGCTCGTGCAGGGTGATTAGTAGATCATAAGGTGGAATAGTTCGGTGTAGTCTAGATATGATTTATTGCAAATTTATGGGTACCCATCACTCGATTTTCTTGACCACATCTGACCGGCACCTCGTATTCACGAAGGAAAGACGCAATTCATATGTGCTGACGCTACGTTGCTTGGGGGGGGGTAGGAATTAGGGTTAAGGTTATGGTTGGGGCTAATATGATACATAGTCTTAGGGTTAAGTTTGAACCTAGGGTTGTTGTTATGGCAACGCGGGGGTTGAGTTAATTGTCAATGGCAATAAATTTATTTATTATCATTAAATGGTAAAAATAGTGTCTCCCTTTGATTAGCAACAGTATGGAGGATCGCAAAATTTTGTTACCACAAAGTTCTTGGATGTTCGGCTCATTTCCTCAACACAGTTCCTCCACGGAGTAGGTGACCCCGGGCGTAAAACATATCGCTGCCAAGTCAACAGTTCAGATTTAATTGGCGGACATTGGGATGAGTGCATGCATGCCACCTCTCGATTGATGCGATGCCATCAACTGTAGGTCGCGCAAGACATGTGGTGTCGGGCGATGCTCAATGCGCCACCATCCACTGCTGCACCGACCAGAAGATGGGCTGGTGCATCTCTGACGAAAGAGAACACAGAATTGAGTACTGAAGCAATCCACTGTCTCACAACATACGGCAAAGGGCACGTCGTTTCTCTGGGAGTTCTACCAGTAAAAGTGTTCGGTCGACTAGGTTCGGTTACCTTGATAGTGCTCATCGATGAATGCTTGTTGAAGCGATTAGGCCTCATTGATCGACCAGAAGTGTTGTCAGTATCCACTGTCGTTCAGACAGCCGAAGTGAGCTGGGAAATAGTGTGTTTTCAGCTATCTGCGACAGAAGGGAAAGAGCCACTGGAAGTGAAAAAAGCTTGGTCCGTCAGCTTTCTTTCTAAGTTGAGGCGTTTTGCCTTAAGTAGAAACCAGGCAGCACGATGGGAACATCTACGTGACATCGAACTCCTCCTTGTCGTAGAAGCGAATGCATCGATAGTAATTCATTTGTCCATGCAGCTGCCAACTGTCCAAATCTGTCAGCAAAAACGGTCAGTGTTTCATATTGACCAAACTCTGAACAACTCGGCACTGTGGGATGGAAACCCCCAGCAGTAGGGAAAGGGTCAGAATATTATCCAGAGAATGGCCAATCACAGTTCGCTTAATACTTAAACTACAGGGTACATGTGCGTCTGCCTGTTGTGATACATTTCAACAGAGCATAGATCATCGGCTGGGGAGAGGGGCATTTAACGTATGTGAATGTCAATGTTACCCATGGCTGCAATTCCCATTTCTTTGCGGTGCTCTATTTTTAAAACTAAATCACTTGGACTTACACATACCCCGACGATTTGCAACCAGCAACGCATTAAGCATTTAAGAACATGAGCCCACAGTAAACCAAACGCCCGACGATTTGGATTGAAGCCCGTCTTTTTTAATTCTTGGAGAATAGCCACGCCCGAGCCCAATGTTGCGCGTGCTTTACGGCCGTCTGTGGGCAAGAAATGGTTTCCTTTAGTTTAGACAGTGCAGTCCAATATAGCTGGCGCCTGATTGGCAAGTGTCACTTCAGGCAAGGCAGCATTTTTGCGACCCTAGAAAAACAACATGCCTGACCGTGGTGCAAGGGTCCTGGGAAATTATCTAGGGGCCTACGACAGAGCATTTTTGGGACGTCAGTCACCACGCTTACCTCTGGGGACTGTTGGCGCCCGGCCTGCACTCTTTCGGACCGTCCAGTCAAAAAGCCCCGGATCCATACGAGGAGGCGTCCACAAATTCCTGTGTTGCGTAGTTTGTGCAAGAGATATTAAGGAGGAACGCGAACGAAAGCCATTTTGCAGTCGATATAAATGGCGTGCATAGAATGCCTTCGTCGCACAAACCAGGTAAGTATACAAATCCCCAGAAATACATTTGGCACGAGTTTACTAAATCTACCAACTTAAAAATGCCAGTAAGAGTGAGCACGGATGTTACCTTGCTGCAATTATGCGACGCCCGCTTATGCAGCGTAGAGAATAACCGCAGATGAGTAACATCAGCGATTATAGTATCCAATACTATGCCTTGTATCGTACACACAAAATCATCGACGGAATTAAAATCAGTCCACTGTGACGAGCATGAAATTAACCCCTCGGTAGATGACCTTTCGACCAAGATACGGACGTTGGCGCTTGCGACAGCCTAGAAAAGACATATTTTGCAAAACATCGAAGCGGACACTAGCTCAACCCATGAAAGCCCTTCTTGCATAGTATTTCACTACCCAACTACCCACTTTCAATCAGCTGTCCATGATGCGGTCTTAGTTCTGTTCAGTTCAGTTTTATTAAGTGAAATGTAGGCGAGCGACTTTAAACTCCCTATTAGTTCGAAATATTTTGTGAGACGCTTTGATAAGTAGAAAGTTGTAGTGGGCCATCGTGCATAATTGCCTGTGGATAGCAGACAGCTTCCAACTAGTCTAAAAAGTGTAATCGCTTACGGTTATTCCGTCAATGTGGTGAGTATAAGCATGCATGATTTGGGCGGCGAGTTATGTGACAGATACTTGGGAAGCTTGATAGGCGTCGAGTCTTCCTTTAGTTGAGTGCTCACAGGAGGAGACTTCAGCATCAGTAGGCAGGGCATTGCACACTGCAAGCACTCTGTTACCGAGGAGGCACTTTCGTTCATTGATCCTTGCTTTACCGGCGCGTAGGTTTTGGGGAATACCACGCAAGGTGGGCGTGCTAACTTGAGCGAAGTTGTCTGTAGGAAAGAGGAAACAGATTGAGAATTGACAGTCTGGTTTCATTGGGCAGTGTTCACAGACCTTTTGTCATTTTTGTCGTCTGTCTCTGAACCTTCTCTAAGACGGTATAGTCCATGGCAGTGCAAGTTCTGCATGCCTTTGCGGCTTATCATAGATGAGGCCGCACGACGGTGCCAAATATTTTAAAAAAGTAGTCAGTGTCAAATCCCATAAAGACTCGCCTAAGGAGTTGCAATGTAGTCATGGCCGACTTAGCCGCCTTCGCGCAGTTCAGCGTTGGTTTCAGTGAAGATGTAATTCACACACTCAATTCCTTCTGGCTGTCAATTTGTTGCAGTGATGTGCCATGAAGAAAGTAAGTCCTGGAGTTGAAGGCTCTGCAGCTGCCGAGTTGAAGGAAGTTGCACTTGTTTACATTGAAGGGCATAAGCCAGCGCTTCAACCAGTCCTCGAGCCTCTGCAAGTTTTTTTGCAGGTAGTCTCCGTCTGCCGCATTGTGAATAACTATCCACAATCTTATGTCGTCACCAAACTGGGTGGCATCACAGTCTAGGTCCCTGATGCAGTCATTTACAAATACGCAAAGGCGCTTAGGGGGAAATTTCGGAAATCTGCAGATTTGCACTTACTTGCTCGCATGTATGCAAAAGTAATCGGAAATTCTGGTCATCGGCCTACATACGATTACTGGCCCACCAGATGAACCAACCTCTCTCCATCTCCACGCGACGGCTACCGCAACAGAGAAAGCGTTCCAATATTAGTGTAAACTCTGGCGGCCACGGATATGCCACATGCCAGCGAGGTTTTTCCAATGCTCTGCGACATAGTCAACCGACCACATACTGATCTTGCGATTATAAGTTACTGGAATAGGAACTTCCCAAAAATACAAGTGATCTTGTGCTAAACGTCTACGGAGATTGGAACTAACATGAAGGTTTAGGTTAAAACATTAAAACTAGTAGTGTGCCTGGCATTTGGCCCACAACCACCTGTTTCAGTGAGGCGAGGATTTCCTATTGCCATGTCGTATCCCAAAACACCTCAATGTTGGTAATAGCATTTTGTTGTTTCTGATCATCGCAGAGAATCAGATGAAGAGGTTTACGAATGCGGCTAATATAGTGGAGTGTCTTACATTCTTCCTTATCGGTTTTCCAACTTCTCAAACTGGCACTTGTGTTTTTTAATACAAAATGCATCGCATGTTGAAAACAGCCGAATGTTTCTTCCTCGCAGGCTCTACAGGAGAGATTTATGTCTATCCTCGTGGTCATGCGATAAGTAAAACGCTCCAACTTGCATATTTCACCGTAACAAATGGGATCTAAATCAGCCCTTTTCTCAAATGAATCTTCGACTCAAAGTCAACATCCAGTGAGTCTACATCTGACGGCCATCTGAATCTACTGGAGAAGGCGTCACAAACGGAGGTCTAAAGCTCATACTTGGCTAGAATTAATTTGCACCTACACGGTTCTCATGTGGTAGATGAGGGAACCACAAAGCAAGCAGATAGACACCGTTAAGCTTTGATACCACAGGCTGCTTTTCAAGTAATAACAACATTCGTAGTCCAAAAAGATGATAACCATTTTATTGGCATACTATGCCTACTCGACGCCGTCACATCAGTTGACTGACCGGTGCGGGAACTGTGGTGGTGTCCGGGGTAATTATGGGAGATTGAGAAAGACTGCGTTCGTTTTTCTCAGAGCATATATCTCAGTTTAAACAAACAAACGCGTTCGGACTTATTGCACTGCACTAGAAGCCGTTTCTGGAAAATTCTACCGACTTGCACCTCCTTAAAGGACGAATGTCTGCTTCTTCATGTGGCCTTTACCGCACTGTCATTTAGTCGAATTCCGAAATGTCCTCACAGCTTATAACGTAATGTAATATACCTTGGTTGTTTGTGTGTAAAACCGTGGGGGTGTGTGTTGACCGGCCTAGGCGCGGGATCACACTGTTCCAGCCCCTTCGCCCGATCTCTTCTCCGGTCTTCTAGACAATCTTGTGATATCACGGCCGGGCGGATTAGGGTAGAGTGCATGCGTAAATACTGCGCAAGTCCACTATCACTGCAAACGAATTCACGAGTAATTTACCGTCCTGCGTCAACACTACTCTTCTGCCCAAAGTGGACGTCGTTAAAAACGACGGTCGAGCTGCCGTCACACGGGATTGCCAGCCATCAAAATTTCAGATGAGCGTGCAGTCAACCGCAGATATTTAGTATATTTTATTGAACATCTGGCGGACATTTGGATACTCACTATCAACTCATCCGACTAAACAGTCGTATTTTGGTCGCATTTGACTCCGCTGGATTAAACTTAAAACAAAACAACAACTACGCTTCCAGCGTTGAAAGTGTAGATGCCAAAATTACGGGGCATTCACAACAGGCAGATGCTTGTTTCGGATGTATGTACTTACTTGACAGCATCTGAAGCCGTGAATGCCAGTCCATGATTTCAGCTGAAATGTAGGAAAGCAACCCCTTGCCGACATCGAAGAGACAAGTTGCCTGACATTTCGGGCCCACGCTCGAGCACATCATCAGCGACAACGGCAGATAGTGCTATTCCATGCACAAGGCACAACTGCAGCCGCCATGCTGCGGCATACATGTGAAAAGCTACAGATACCCCCCGCATCATCTCGAATTGTTGCACCTGGCATGATGATTGTTCGATGTCCAACACGCGAATCGTTAATCGTTGAGATGTCATCATGGGTACTCGGTATTGGCGTGATGATTGCTCAACCATTGGGAATAGTACTCACTGTCCCTGTCGCATGCCACTCTCGGAAAGAGCAGTTTCTTTTATCTCTGTTCTTCTTTCGACGATGGGGTCGCGTACATCGACAAATACTAGACAGAATAATTTCCCTTGTAACGGTAGTGTTCTAACAAATGCATCCACTATTGAGTTCCAGCAAGCCTATCGATGCAACACCCCAACCTAAAGGATCAGCTAAATTCGGGAGGGCTACATGAGGAGTATAATTAATATTGCGGAAACGTTTTGTTTTCCGAGAAGGAATCATAATCTTTACTTATTGCTCGTTAACCTTTTGAGTTAATACTGTATCTTAAAAAATTCAGGGAGCACTTAATATGACGTAAACTGACATGAAGTATGTGTTTCTTGACGTGAATGTTTGAATCAGTGGTTTGAATGCTTATGCTGTCGCCATTATTTCGGACAAAGAGAGCGAATTTCTTCTATCAAAGTAGGACATTGAAAGGACTTCTACCAAGATTTAAGGCATAGGGTTTCGGAGAACAAATTTATGCAATGCCTGATTCAATAATTCGTGATAAGTGCATATTTCCGACGATTTACTCAAAAAGATCTACGCTTAGGAGCTCCAAGCAGTGGTTTCATCTGCAAACGGTCATTGGCTAATACGGCGTAGATATAGGGCGACTTCGCGCTACTTGCGTGCTTAGTTGTTGGGCAATGTTTCTTCAGCTACTTTTTCTGGCTTCAGCTTATGGCGTTTCCGTAAAAGGTGACATTATCAAAACCTGCAATTTTTCCTTTATTTCATAGCTCATTACAAGGTTTAACAGTAAATTCTTCATCATAAGTTGAGCATTGCCGTTTCTTTTGTAGAGGTCAATAACACCGTGGAATTCAAACAGAACAGCGATTATGTTTATACCAAACGGCTCTACGGGAAGGTCAAGGTAATTCTTGTCTACTAGGAGATGCAACGATTTCCCAATGTGCTTGAGGTAACAAGCATCTTTTCTTCACATAGTCCATGACCGTTGACGGCGTGCGCGTTTCCGAGGCTACAAAGGGCTCGCACTGTGTCCCGCCGAATGACTGCTGGGAAATTATCCATCGTAAGATATACGGTTCGTGACTCCTTCCTCAACATACTTACAATCGTTTTTGTATGTGCAAAAGAGTTTGCACACTTAACCTGCGGTTACCTCGTATGTCTAAAAAAATGCTGTGTACTAGAATTAGGCGGGTGAGAAGAAGTGAAATTCTATGTGTCTCTTATAATCGCTGCTTGCATGTGCACATTTGGAAGGATAGTTCTTACAGCAAGGGAGGCTGCGTGGCCATTTCTGACCTATAAGTCTGCACATAGGTAAGAGTGGGTTCCATAGCCCGATCGGTGAACGCCCCCTCTACCTTTGTTTATACTCGCTCGTCACCGACAGGACAACGAGCCCATAGCTCAGTTGTTAGTTGCCTTGGATGTCTAATCAACAAGACGCGGCATCGAGCACCGGACGATGCACACCTTGGAGTTGAGCATAGCAGACAGGCCGAAGACGGCCAATAAGACAGAACCGGTCACTCCAGTCTTCCATGTACTTTGTCGCTAATGTCCTTCTGCGTTATTGTCTCCAACAATCTAGATATATATATATATATATATATATATATATATATATATATATAAACAACTGTCAAAAGCGACGCCTTAATTTGCGGTGTAATGCATTTTGTCCGGTAGGACTGATTTACGTGACACTCTAAACAGGCCGGGGAAAAGGACTGCTTCACCCAAATCATAAAAGTTGATTTGCGCACAATTCCGGAAAGGACGAAATATTTATGTGTCCTGAACCCACACTGACATTGATGTATAACAAGTGTGTCGCCCTAATCTTGACCTCAAACCTACTCTAAATCTTGACTCTGTAGTAAACTCTAGCCCTGAACTCAACCCTTGACTTGATTCTGACTTACCCTACCATTAACTTTACATCTAGCCCTAAACCTCATCTTTAACCTTACTGTCAGCCTAGCCCTGATTTCAGAGGATGTTGCTTTAAAACAATCGGAAGGACAGACGGTTCCTATTTCCATGTCCTGTTTAGGAAGCCATATATGTCAGTCACCCCATTACAAATTAACGCATTGAAAATTCAGAGGAAAATTTGGTTACAATTGGGTAAATAAATTGTCTTAACACAAAGGGTGTTTCGTTTCAATTTGCTATTACTTCTCAGGAGAACGTCTCCGGAAGACGTTATGTTTGCAAATGAACATCCTAAATATAAACGTTAACATTTTCATGGACTTTCACGTGTTTCGTAATAATGCCTGTCCCCAGTGCGCGAATGAATTTTTTTCTTCATAAGCCAACAGCTACATCATTGCTAACGGTTTCCTGAAGAAGACACAAGCAGCATTTACGTTGCATCCTCAGTATTCTACTGGCAGATGCCCAGTTACAGTACAATACAAAAAAGCTGGCACGCTGGATTGTAAGTCAAAGTAATCGGTTTCATTAATATACACATATATTAACATTTTGGCTTACATCCGTTTATGTTCATTAATTGTCGCTCAGGCAGTAGTGAATTCAGTTATCTAATTCGCAAAAAATACAATAGGTGGACAGTGGCGCCTTAAGCGTCATTCTGCTTATTGTTTATCGATTTGCACGAAAGTATTTTGAGTCAAGACATAAAATTAATTAACCTCTTGCAATTTTAGCAGCTTTACGAATTACTGTACAAAGTATCGCATTCTGTTATTTCTTCTCTAGATCCGCCGCTGGTTACTGGTGCAGTATCAGTTTACGCAAAAGAAATCCTCGAAAATGAAAGGCTCATTCACATTCTGTTGTTCAATGGAAAAGTTGCGGTAATCATCGGAAATTGATTTAATCGTCTCAACTGCATGATTAAAATAGTGCTGCGAAGTCTCTTACATGAGAAACGTTAATGTTGCGAGGAAAAGCAGTAGTAAGCGTAATTCTATACATTATTTAGAAGTGAATAAATACATCATAAGTAAATATCTTACTGTTAATATCACACGTCTGCCTCCATTCCGAGTAGATGCATTTATTTTAGCTAAATTAACCTGGGCAGTAAAGCCATTTCAATGTTCCCATTTCTACGCGTCTATTCAAATAAAATAACCATTCCAGCGCAATTTCATGTTTGCAAAATTTCAGAACTTGACCTACGAAGGGCCAAATTCAACAAAAACAAGAGATGACAGTAGTATATCTCTGTTCGGGGCGACTGGTAAGTATATAATTTGGTGTTCCCAAGGATTTCCTAAAGGCAATGTAATTTGCGTTGGTTCTTGCAAAATATTTCAAACAATGGATTTTCACGCCGAACCGTTTTAACACATGTTTATGCGTGATTCCAGGATTATACATGAACGAAGTTGTACTATTCACGGGACATTTGAGATCCGAAACGCGACAAATGGAGATACAGTTTACGACTAACAGGATTACTCGTGTTACCATAAATCCTTCCAATAAGCCGGAGGCCATGGCTTTAGTGTTAACAATCATCGACTTCATGCACGCATTCCAGTGCACGAAGAAGTAGTTCCGGGTGTTGGATGCACGATTTTTTGAATGGCAGTGTGTGGTTGAGGGTTGATTTTAATTTTAATAAAGATTTATGCATTATGTTTTTTCAGTTTGAGCATTCCATAATTGTGTGCCTTCAAACACGTTATTAACAGCAGAATTTAAACGGTCAGAAACAAGTAAATTCTGGTTATACAATTCAAAATATCTTTAAGACGTTAAATGATTAGGGGCCGTCGATCAACGGTTGTTTGCGGGCTAACTGAGGGGATCATAAATGCAATAGTTTCAAATTTACGAACTCTTCATATCTGCTGATCTCTCAAGTAAGGTTTTCTTTACGTTCCGTATTTGCTGCGCTGACAAATTGTCACAGATTGGTTTGCTGTTTCTTGACAAGTATCTATGGCATTTGCACAGTCGTTTACATAAGCGTTTCTACTCAACTTGGCCTCTTATATTTATTATTGCATGAAAATTGTGGGCTGAAGATTACATTATATAATGTTTCTGTACAATGACATTGATAACCGTCATATGAAATCCATATCATGGCGTAAGTTTAAATAGCAGTTGCGGCAAGCGCATATATAAATTTGGTAAGTGAACACAAACTAGATTATGTTATTGGCGTGCCTGGAGTAAATGGCTGATCCTTTTAAAAATAAATTCAAGACTGCAGATTTAGATGAAAAAAAAACAGTTATGTGGTAAACGACAGTGAAGGAATTCGCTATCGAATATCTATATCTTCACGCCGGGTTCCAGTGGGCGAGTGTAGTAGGTGCTGCAAAAGTCCACTTTTAGCATATAACAATTCTCGCGCAAGTCACCGTCCCTGCTTCGCGCTTGCTGTGCAGCATACGGAGTACTTCGTCGGCAACGACAGTTGAACCGTCAGTTATCCACTCGTCTGTCAAGCACACTAATGGTAGGCGAATACGCATATACGCCGGCATGGGAGTCCACTGTGGAATGACGTTGCGAGGAAAAATATCAGCTCAGAAGACGAAGATGCGATCAATGGAACTGCCACCTGGAATCGCCTGTTCGCTTCTATCAGCAAAAATAGGAGTGTTTACTGTCGTGATACAGCCCCTATTTAGTTTATCAATCAACTGCAATTTGACTTTATGGCCATTTCAAAACGATGTTTCTTGAATATATCAGTACAAAGACCACTTAACAACTGGAACTTTACTATAAGAGCAAGCCTGTTCTGTCGGGCGGGGCGCATGGGTCAAATATTTGTGTATAAGACCAATCTTCGCAGCAGGTCATCGGACACCTTCAAGAATCCAAACATCTTCCCGAAACTAAGGGTACCATACCTGTTCCAACTCTTCCAGATGCGGCCATGACTCCAGCGTTAACATTCATTGAATTCGTGCACGCTTTCAAGAAGAAATAGAAGAAACCCCACATTACTGCTCCATGTACGCTATTAAAGTAGTATCCAGGCGTCTCTCAAACACACCTACCGTAAGGGAATGCCGACCTACGCCAGTGATGGAATCCCCTATCGGATGTCTATATCTTCACGCCGGGTCCCTGTGGGTGAGTAGGAGAGAGTGCGGTAGATGCTGCGAAAGTCAACATTTACTATAAAATAATTCACGCGCAAGTCGCCATCCCTGCTTCACACTTACTGTGGAGCACACGGTGGACATCGTTTAAAACGACGGTCGAACTTTCGAGTGTCCACACGCCTCTTTAACACTACTCATGATTGGTGGGCGAGCATATATGTCAACAATGACGCTGCGAGGAGAAATAGGAGCGTTGACTGGCGTGACGCAGTCCCCGTTTAAGTTGGCAATCATCAGTGATTCGAAGTTACCGCATTTTGAAATGACCTTCACGGTATCCATCTATGCCACGTCCACTTAACAACTGGAACCAGCCTGTGCCGTCCATAGCCGAAGGGAAAGACGGTCGACTACGTCTTTGGACACCTTCTCGAATACATATGCCTTTCCGAATATGCGTGTACCACATACTCAAGTTAAGACATAATAAATGCTCCCGGTATGCCACCAAATTTAGTAGTATCTGGATCTGCAAGCCAGCGCATCGGCTTCACTATTGACGTTGCCTGAATTGTAACTTAGGAACACCATACTGTTATGTTGAGGTCAACTTTAACGAAACCTACAGGGTATTTTTGTTTATTTTCGGTTTTGATTACTTGATTGTCCGAGCGTTACTGTCAAAAATAGGGTTTTCTCCTATGCCTTGCTGTCACTAGTTGATAGTGAAGTTCACGCAGAAGATTTTGCGTGATGTTTGCAGTTTAGTGTCTTAATGTAATATCTGTTGGACTTCATCTTCTTTTATCAACTTCTGCAGCCTAACATCATCTCCAAAACATGTCATATACGGCTTTATTTTCGATTCTACGTCATTTGCGTAGATAATTTAGAGGGACGGCCCTAGATCTGATCCATACGGAAATTTACACTTACCGTTTGCCGATTCTGAGCAGTAGCTATCCACAGTAGCATCCTGTTTAAGATCGCTTATGAAATCTTGAATCCAGTTTAGCTGCTTACCTCTAATCCATAAGTCTGACATCTTTTAAGTTATGCGCTTATATGAAACTCGATCAAAAGCCCTACTAAAGTCAAATTAAACGACCACAGCTTAGTTGTCTTCGTTCACGTAACTTGAGCGATGTTCTCGCTGACCCGAGATGATAAGCAATGGTTTCCCTAATTTTTCAACTATGAGATGTAGGAGCGCTAGTGGAATATTATCTGGTCGAGTACAACTTTTCTAACTCTGCCAAAACTAGCTGCGTCGTAAATAATGCTCTGTTCGACGTTTAGAAGCTCATCAATTAAAATCGGCATGTTAAACTTAATATTCTTAACTTGGGAACGTTGAGTTTTTGTTAACTTACTTCGGGTCACTTATAATCACTCATTTGCTTTGTATATCAACGTGCAGGGATTGTTCGACGTGCCGCCAATTATCTGCCCTTGACTATGAGAATATTATTCAGGAATTACAGCTTACGACGATCAAGCAGTGAACGACGATCTTGAGTGTGAAAATGACCGTGCCCATCATTACGGTTCTGAGTTAGACCTCGTACTGCATCTATTGTTTCAAACCGAGAGACCTTCACACACATTGACATATGCTCTACTGTTGAAGATGAAATGGTTGGCAGCTCAAATAATACCAAACTGCAATTCAATGAATACAGATACTTGGGCCAAATTTACCGAGGTCGGAGAGCTAACTACAGCTGAACGGGTATTTGCAGTAGGCGTTCTCTTCAGCTAAAATACAGATTTTGGGATTCACTGACAGGACGCGACGCACGTGCCTGCTTCTGGCGTCGCGCAACGTCGATTGGTACTGATTTATCGTCCTGCTTGCGATGAAATGAAGATGGGCTAATCGTCCCCATACGCACTGGCCTGCGTCTGGCCTGATGCACTCTTAGTGAGCTGCCTATGTATTATATGTGGTATGTGTCCGACGACACAGCGTTCGTTGTCGCCAGTAGCAAGCTGGCGGGCGGACAGAATGGGATCGAGTGAGATCCTAACCACAGCAGTGAGGGTAAACTCCCATTTGGGCTTTTAGCGCAACCATTCGTTAAATTAGAGGATGGGCACTCGCTTTACGGAAGTAATTTATCCGGCAGCGCCTTGGGACTCTTTGTCGAGGCCGATCAGCATCCGCATAGCAGCGCAGAAAATAGGCAGAATGACAGTACCGTCAAAGACAATGGAGGATGGAACGGCCTTTTCTGGCTTGTTAGCCCTCAACAGCCAGTACTCCGATTAAGTAATCAAAAAGGGCCTAAGTTAAAATAATATTGGCACAGCTAGAGCTCAGTTTAATTCCTAAAGCTACTAATTGTATTAGTGAACTCAGACCTACAAGAACGACAGAAGAACGGCTGATGTATTACGCGATTTTTGATTTTCTGTTCATCCTCTACAACTTGCTGCAGATATGAGAGCCCGGGGACTATCGCTTAACAATCAAGGGCTCAATCAGAATCGATCAGTCTGAGTCCATTCCCTAAAATAATTTTGAAACTCTCAGGAAGCCGACACGCTTAGCGTTTGTAGTTCACACAAAATATAGTTGATAGTAAATAACATTTCCATGGTTAAATAATGGAGGTGTACAGCAGTGAACCCTTGGTCTTATATTTCGGCATGGTCGATCTATTCAAAGACAGTTTTTAAACCCTAGGCGATTTTGAAGACTTACAGGTGCCGCAAGGTGACTTTAGCATTGCTTGAGCACGAAGTTACATTTTCCGTGTCATGCTTCTAAACCGCACATTCAAACATAAGTGTTTAAGGTGCAAATGACACGTGGGACTTTTGGTTTGGATTGATTTGTCCACATATGAAAATCGACAGGGCAACGGGCTCGTGACCCAGTTGTTAAAGGCGTGGACATCTAGCTAACAGGTCGCGAGTTCGAGCCTCGGCTGTTCCACATTTCGGAGTTGGGTATGGCTGGCTGACGACGGCTAATAAGCCAGAAATGACCATTCTAGTCTCCCTTGTCTTGGTCGGTAATACCATTCTGCCTATATCATGTGCTCATCTGCGGTTGCTCGTTGGGCTCGAGAGAGAGCTCGTAAGGCACAACGGAACGAGTGAGTTCCGTAAGGACGATCGGTGAGTGCCACCTATCATATAAATATATTGGAGGCAGAGGCGTTCTTTGAGAAAAGGTACTTTATTGCGTGAATTTTCGACGCCGGTTCCCCAGGTCGTCGTCAGACGCAGACTGAGAGTAACTGTGCCAACAACAGTTAATATCTGGGAGTGCACATTAAAAATCGATAATCATTCGCGTTTGCGCCCGTGAGCGGCCGCTATTTGCGTCATTTCGTCCCGATTGACTCTCCTCTCTTCCTTTTCTTCTTGGGACTTTTGTACGCGACATTCAACTCGATATGACGGTTGATGCACGATTCATCAGAGTGCCAGGACTCAAGGAACTCTCGGCCTTTCTTGAAGGGGCAGGCACCGACAATCCGTGTTCTGTCCCAACCAAACGCATGCCCCGTGTCCAAAGTACGCATGGCTACTTGGGAAGGTGGTCTCGCCTCTTTACTGCAAGTTAGTGTTCGTGAATGCGTGTGGAGGCGGATTTTCCTGTTTTACCACAATAAACTGCATCACAGGCCTCACATGGGATCTTGTAGACGACTTCATTTCTATCCAACTAGTCGACCCTATCATTAGGGTGTACTATCTGAGTACTTAGTGTAGTCGTTGGTCTGTGTGCCACCAGCATTTGGTGCCTCTTAAGGTGCCTTTCCATGAAGTCAGACACGTTTATGATGTAAGAGAGGGTTCGCCATGTATTTGGCTTGGGTGTCTGACTGGAGGCTCTTTGCTCCCTTTCCTTTGACTCTTTCAGTCTCATGCATCGGCGCACAAAATTCTTGGGGTACCCATTTCGGGAAAATAATTCACACAAGTCCAATTATATTTCATGGATAACATGCATAAAAATATTCATTCTTTTGCTCATTCGGTAGATAATTACGTCTTCCTCTAATTTAATAGTCGAAAGAGTGATACAATTCGGTTTTAAGAAAGCTTCTAATTGTGGGAGTTTTAAATATCGTAAGAAGGTGGTTCATAATTTGTCATGTCTCTTCATTTACCAATATGGCTTTTAAAGTTAACACTATGGCCCAAATCCACTGTCACATTTAATGAACCCTATATGGCCTCCTCTTAATATGGTTTTCCGTACGCGGAAAATATGTGCCTTGTGGTTTGGAAACCCTGAATCCAAGTGTAACGGTCGAGCGGGTTCAAAATTATTCGGGTATTAGATAATTCCTTGAAAACCGAATTATAACCTTCCTTCGAGTGCATACATGGAAGCAAGTGTAATTGTCTAATAAATGAACGAATGAATGAATATTTTTATGCATGTTTTCCATGAAATATAAATGGACATTTAGGGGCATCGAAAATCAATGAGAAAACTTCATTCTACTTAAGTAGTCTTTTTTCTTGTATGTAGTTTTTTTATGCAGAAGAAAAGAAATTCATTCGAAAGTCGGCATCATGAGTTAGCTGAAATATTATAGAATTAGGAAGCAGGCTGACTAATTTTACAACCCTACTTAATTAATTTTGTTAAACGATAACGCATTTTGGAATTTCGGTTGACATTTCATGAGTTGGCCCACCTACTGTAATCTCGGCCCATTTACACGAAACATAGCCTGTGCGGGTTATTACTGATACCAGGAACGGGCATATTTGTTCTCGGAGCTATACGGTCCATCGAAGACCCGTCAGGTTTTTACACATTCATTGAAAGTCAACCATTGTCATCAACGATGTCTACCGTGTGATTTAAAGCATCGTAGTCGCAAGGAAAGTAACTTGCACCTGAATTATTGTATAGAGACATTAGATTTGAGCGACATCTAACTCACTCTCGCTCTCCTCATTCACCCTCTGCTCGATATCGAGGCAGGATCAGGAGGACCGGATGCGGCGTCGGACGCAGAGCATCTGCGCGTTCTTGTGGCCCAAGTGGAAAGGAGCACCACAAAAAGAGGGGGTCGTTACAGAGTGACTGTCCATAAAGTCATCCCGTCAGATGTCAGTCTTCCAAGTTTGTGGGTGCGTTCGTTTGTTTAAAGTGAAGAATATGCCGTAAAGACTCCGGCCCAAAAGTCAAACTGGCTCTCTTTTCTCTCACCCAGCCACCTGTCGCCTGTCCGAGCTGGTTAGTCATCCGATACGGGTATTGGGCGAACGTCATCAACAGAATTCGACATCTTATCACGCGCGATCTGTTTCCCTACACAGGCGTTTGCACGAACTTGGTGGCTGTCTCGGATCTCATGTGCGTGAATGTGTTATAGAGGCTGTAGTAGAAAGGAGTCAATCCAACCTGACTGCCATGTTAACAGACATGGTGAGTTGACTGCGATGTCTGAATCGAATCCGTAATAGTCAGCCTTCGAATGCACGACGTGTAGTGCGTCTTGGTAGATTCCAGCATGGGTATGCGCTCCTTTTTGCGACGGTCAAAGAAACGAATGAAAGAAAGAATAATTGTGTTCAAGTTTTTCATCAAATATATTTGATTTTATAAAATCATCGAAAACCAATGTGAAAAACGCATGCTAGATAAGTAGTATTCTTTTACCGAGTACGGTTTCTACAGGAGATTGAAAGGATCTGCCTTTAGAAGCCGACATCCTGCCGAGTCCGAAATACTATAGGATTATGCCGCGGGATAATCAAGCATGCAACCCCACCTTAGTAATCCTTCCAAATCAAAAACGCATTTCAGATATTTAGCCAGCATTTAATGAGATCGGTCATTCACTGTTAGTTGAATAGCGGATTTACTGAATCTGCAGGCGCAATAAGCTCTCTCTCTCTCTTCCTGCCTATCCTTCTTCCCCTCCTCCTCCTCCTCCTCCTCCTCCTCCTCCTCCTCCTCCTCCTCCAAGCCGCCGCCGCAGTCTGCAGACTGGTAGGGTGAGTCTGCTCACTCTGGCAGCCTGGAATGTCCGTTCCCTTTTAGACATTCCGATGAGCAATCGACCGGAACGGAGGACAGCGTTAGTGACTCAGGAACTGGCGCGCTACAAGGTGGATATCACCGCACTCAGCAAGACCCGGTTCTACAAACAAGGCCAACGGGAGGAGGTGGATGCCGGCTACACCTTCTCCTGGAGCGGCCGCCCTAGGACAGAGCGACGAGCTGCGGATGTCGCCTTCGCCATCCGGAACGACATCGTGGGACGACGGCCCTGTGTACCGCAGGACGTCAACGATCGCCTGATGTGCTCCGCCTGCCTCTCTGAGCAGGAAATTTGCCACCATCATCAGCGCCTACGCTCAGCCGATGTCCCGCCCTGACGCTGACAGAAACAAATTCCAAGGCAAATAAGCTCATTGTCCTTGGCGAATCCAACGCCCGCTTCGGCAGAGACCATGCTGCCTGGAGAGGAGTGCTACGTCCCTGTGGTCTCCGCGGCTCAAACGACAATGGTCTGCTCCCTCTCCGCACCTGCGTAGATCACCGACTCATCCTGGCAAACACATTATTCTGCCTGCTGGAGCGAGAGAAAGCCACCTGGATGCATTCTCGGTCGCGTCAGTGGCACCTACTGGACTATGTCCTCGTCCAGAGGCGAGACCAGCGGGATGTGCTGGTGACAAAGGCGACTCCGGGTGTTGACGGGTAGACCGACCATCGTCTCGTCATTTCAAAGTTGCGTATTTGCCTACAGTCTCTCCGGAGACCATAATGTAGGCGTCCCCAAGTAAGCTGAATATTGCCTTATTGTCCTTGCCTGCTCACTACGTCCATTTCAGCGACGAGCTAGCTCAACAGCTAGACAGCCTTCCAGTCGCTGCTGCTGCAACCGCTGCTGACGAGAACGCCTCAGTAGAGAATCGATGGTGTCAACTGCGGGACACAGTCCAGTCGACGGCGCCGGCCGTCCTCGGTCGCGCACGCCGCTTGCATCAAGACTGATTCGACAACAACGTCGCCGACATCAGCAACCTGCCCGTTGAGAAGAACCGCCTACACAAAGCCTACGTCGACTGCCCCACCGATGACAACAAAGCTGCTTCTACCGTTGTCGTCGTCTCATTCAACAGCGACAGCGCGAGATGCAGGATGCCTGGACGTCTCGCAAGGCTGCGGAGAGCCAGGGATACGCGGACAGCAACAAATGGAAAAACTTATTTTTCGCGGTCTAATCTGTCCAGAGACTGCAAACCAAAGGCACTGCTACTCTCCTCAGAGCCGACGGCAGTATCCTCCTCCCTGAGAAGACACAAATTATACAGCGATTGGCCGAGGCGTACTTAACCGCCCCTACACCACCTTCGACGCCGTCATCGCCCGATTGTCGCAAGCGCAGACCAGCGAGGACTTCGACCTCGACCTCTCGTCCTCTTTCCACGAAACCATCAGGGCCCTGAAACAGCTCTCCAGCAAGAAAGCACCCCGATCGGACGCTAGCCCTGTTGATGTCTCCAAGCACCGCGGCCCTCAAGTCATGGACCATCTGACTGCGCTCTTCCAGGGGATGTGGCGTCAAGAAGAGGTCCCGCATGGTTTCAAAGACGCCACAATCGTGAATCTATACAAGCGGAAATGAAACCGCCAGCTCTGCGATAATCATCGGGGCATCGCCTTGCTGAATATCGCCAGAAAAATCTTTGTTCGCATCCTCCTCGACTGCCTGCGTAATCACCTAGAATAAGATCTTCCGCCGGAAAGCCGGTGCGGCTCCCGCCGTCATCGCGGGACCACGGATATGATCTTCGCCGCCACCAACTTCAGGAGAAGTATCAGGAGATGCGGACTCACCTGCACTCTATCTTCGTGGATCTGACGGAAGCCTTCAAGACGGTGAATCGTGAAGGACTGTGGAAAATCGTACAGCAATTCGGCTTTCCCGAGCGATTCACTCTGGACGGTGCGTTGGCTCCATGACGGCATGATGGCGCGCGTCACGGACAACGAAGCTATCTCAGAGGCATTCGCAGTGACCAACGGAGTGAAGCAGAGGTGCGTCCGCGCGCCTACCCTCTTAAGTTTTTTGTGATCTGCCATTCTGATGGACGCCTACCGTGATGAACGTCCCGGGATCCGCATAGCCTACAGGACGGACAGTCACCTCCTCAACCAACAACGGATGCACTTCCAATCGCGCGTATCCACAACCAACGTTCACGACTTTCTCCATGCCGACGACTGCGTCCCCAACACCATTTCGGAAGAGGACATGCAAACGAGCATGAGTCTCTTCTCCGTCGCCTGCGAGAACTGCGGTCTGGTTATGAACACGGAGAAGACGGTGGTCATGCACCACCGAACACAGCCCAACCGCACAATGCGCTGCAGATCAGCGTGAACGTAACCCAACTGCAAGTGGTGGACAACTTCCCGTATCTGGGTAGTACCCTCTCCCGCAGCACAAAATCGTCAATGAAGTCACCCGCCGTATTTCGAAATCCAGTCTGGCCTTCAGTCCCCTTCAAAACACAGTTTGGAATCTTCACGGCCTCCAGCCCAGCACAAAGCTGAAGATGTACAAAGCTGTCATCCTCCCGACGCTACTGTACGGAGCTGTACGGACGGTGTACACGAAGCAGGCACGCTGACTCAACCACTTCCACCTCACCTGTCTTCGTCGCATCCTGAAGCTGTGGTGGCAGGATGGAATCCCCAATACCGATGCATTTGAGCGTACGGGAATCCTCAGCATCCAAACCATGCTGAGACAACTGCAGCTGCGTTGGGGCGGCCATCTTGTGTGGATGGACAACGAACGACTACCCAAACGACTCTTCTATGGAGACGTCGCCACGGGTTCCCGCCGTCAAAGAGGTCAAATACGTCGGTACAAGGATACTCTCAAATCCTCCCTGAAGCGTTTGCAAATCAATCCGACCAACTGGAATGACCTCTCCTGCGATCAATGAAGCCAACTACACCACCACCGCCAAAGCGAAACGTTAATTACGCAAGTCCAAACTGTCCCCCACCCCGCACAACCGCCACAAACGGGTCCACACTGTCAACGGACATTTCGGGCATGTATTAGACTGGTTGGACGCCTTCAGATCAACTGCACCACTCGGACCGCGCCAACCGTCGTTCCTCCCTCCTCCTCGTCCTCTACGCCGCAACAAACTCGGACCGCTCTCCTGAACGACCACCTGCAACCTCCTCCTCCGGCCCCTCCTCCTCCTCCTCGTCCTCCTCCTCGTCCTCCTCGTCCTCCTCCTCCTCCTCCTCCTCCCCTCCTCCTCCTCCACTGTCCCAACGTCTGCCTTTGTGGCGTCTGACATGCACATCAACACTATACACACTCCTGACACACCAACGAACACCAACACCACCACCATTGACACCAGCGGCGAGGACCAGGACTACACCTGTCCTCACAGCGACCGCACTATCACCTCACACATCGGTCTGCTCGGTCACTTGCGAATCCATCGCACAGGGAATAGCGAACCAGTGCCTGGATTACCAACCTACACCCACCGCACTCGCCTCCACGGTCCACACTGTCCTCGCACATTTACGCATTGTCTGGGCCTATTCGGCCACATGCGTATCCATGAGAAGGGAATTGACTGCAGCCCCGACACACCCACCACATCCTGCATATCCATTTTGCCTAGCTCCATGCTAACTCCGTCGCCCTGTGCGCTCACCGCCAACACCATCATCTCTGCAACTGACACTGACACCACCGACTTCTCACGCCCACACTGTCCACGCGCACTCACCTCGCGTCGGCCTTTTCCGAGTCTATTGCACAGAGCCTGGCGAACCAGTGCCTGAAGCACCCACCTACACCCGTCGCATCCGCCTCCACTGTCAACACTGCCCTCGCACATTCATGCAGCACATGGGCCTATTCGACCACATGCGCATCCACGAGAACCTGCGGTAGACAACCGCCGGTTACGTCACACCACGACATTCTCTTACAACATCATATCGCCAAAAATCAACATCACCCACCGCAAGCACTCACCTGCCACCTCCCACGCAAGTGGGAAATGCGCATCTTGGCTCAGTCTCCGTGCGGCTCCTGTACACGGGTAACTCGAGCGTAATATTATCCCGACGCGTCAAGCGTCAGGGATTGGAATTTTGCTGGCTGACGTCCCAACTCAGTCCACGCAGTCCGCTCAGTTGTTTCTGTGTCGTGTGGAGTGGCGGACTGGTGATCTGGAGGCCGGGTGGAAACAGCTCCTTCCACAGCACTCTCACGCATGCGAGAGATACGTCGCTCAACCCACGTTGGGTGAAATCCTGTTGTCTGTGTTGGGGAACCAGGTCGTGGGTGTGGAGCCCACAGACATGGTCACTAGACCACGTCAGCCAGCGGGGCCCATTCCCTGCTCCGGTCCGCTGACTGGCTCGGATAGTGGCTGGGCATGGGAGTGGGAAGGGAGAGTGAGGTCGACGACTCAGCGCATTTTTCATCAATATAAACAATCTGATGCCCTTGAAGCTATCACGGTAGGTTAAAAGCCGTGGCTTGGAAGGTTGCCAACTGACGGAATAACTTGGGCCTCGCAGTTGCCCCTGTGTTGTGTGTGCTGGTGTGGAGTGGCCGGCTGGTGGTCTGACAGTCCGGCTGCAATGGCTCCTTCTTAATGTGGCCTTTATGGTACACCTACTACGTGGGATCCGAGCCGGGCGTTGGCGGCACGCCTAGGTGCCGATTCGGTCGCGCCAGGCTCCAATCTCTGTTGCTGGTCAAAATCCTGGTTATTTGTTGCGTGGACCAGGGGGTGTGGAGTGGAACGTCAAGGTGCGGGCTCGACCGTGCCATCCACCTGCGCCCTCCCCCGTTTCCGGTCTTCTTGAGTCTGCCTTGACACCGAGTCCAGGTGGGGGTGGGGTAGAGAGTGTGGTAGATGCAGCGCAAGTCTAACGGCACTATATACCCCGCGCAAATCACCGTGGCTGCTTCACCCTGATGAGGGGCATAGGATGAACATAATCAAAACCGACGGTCTAACTCTTCTGAGTTTGCGAAATGTCTGCAAATGGTTGCGAATGCGTAGATATCTCTCCGTCTCTTTAAATCAACCTTTCTGAGCCAATGAGCAGGAGCAGGCAAATGAGACATAACTGGTTCACCTTGCATGATCCAACAAGTCCATATTTTTGGAAAAAAAACTTAAATTTTGGAGCCGAAATTTCAATTAGAAAGCCACATTGACAGAAGAAGCCACTGTTACGTAAACCTCCGACTTCAAATATATAAGGGCGTTTACTGTCTAAAAATAGGCCCAGTGATTTCAATGCACGCACGCACCCATAGAAAACTTAATCTGAGATGAAGATCATCCCGCCAAGAAGAATTACAGTGAGTGACCGATCTCATGAAATGTTGGCTGAAATTGTGAAATGCGTTTTCGATAAAGAAGGATTACTTGGTCGCAGTTGTAATACTGATTATCTTGCCGCATAATCCCACGGTACTTCAGACTCGGCAGGATGTCGGCTTTTAAATGCACTTTATTTGATCTCCTGTAGAAACCCTACCCGTTTAAAATGACTAATTAATTAGCATGAAATTTTCCCATTAAATATTGATGGTCTTGCAAATTAAAATGTATCTTATAGAACCATAAACAAAAATATGCTTTCTATCAGTTAATTAATAACGAATTACGTCTTCTTTATATTTATACTCAAAAAGGAGTATAATAAGGTTTTAAAAGAGCTTCAAATTATGACAATTTATAAGACCCCGCAATGTCCATTCACCAAGCATCGTACCTGGCCGTTTACCACAGTTCCTCATGAAATGTACAACGTAGTCCGCATCTATTGAATAATTTTATGGACTCTTTCTTATGGCATAGAAAAATATGCGATCTTCTTTACGCTGAACTCATGCACCATGTAGACTGAAATCACAAAGCGCTAATGCATCGAACGATCAGACTCTAAATTATTCGGCAATTAGAAAACTTCTTTAAAACCTAATTATACTCCTTTTTTGAGTATAAAATTTAAAGTAAACTTGATTCTCTATTGATTATTTTGTTTGTATTTTGTTTATGGTTTCTAAAAGATATGTTTGAATTTTCAAGACTATCAAAAATCAATGGGAAAAATTGCTAATTAGGTAGTCATTTTTTACCGAGCACGCTTTCTACAGAAGATTGAAAAGAAGAGCATTTAAAAACCGACATCCTGCCGAGTCCGAAGTACCGTAGGATTATGCGGCAAGATAATCAGTATTACAACCGCGCCTAAGTCATCCTTCCTAATCGAAAACGCATTTCACAATTTCAACCAACATTTCATGAGATCGGTCACTCACTGTATTTGGAAATGTTGACTTCATTTACCCATCTGTTAGATCCATTACTATATAAATTCGAAAAACCAAGCAATAAAAAGTGTGTCATAATAGTCGTGTTTCTTTTGATGGACGTAAGCGACTACCAGTGACGAGCACCACTAGCTGGTGCATCATATCTTAGGGGTATTTCAGTGGAAGCCGATATAAAAGACCTCCTTGCTTGCGGTGGAAGCGTGTTCTATGGCGCTAAACTGTCATACTGACAAATGGCACTGTTTTATATATATGCATGCGATTTGTAATGAAAAAAAGACATTTAGAATACAAGTGACTTTTGTCCGAAATCCGCCATTTTCCTTTTCACCATCCAAAACGCCTACAACCTTAAACAATTAAAAAAAGTAAATGAAACATTAAAGGCAATGTTGCGTTGTTTTGAAATGTCAATTTCGAGAAAGGCGCAAAAGGTCGAAAGTGTCAAAAATGGTTGTAATTTAAAAAGTTTTGTTTTTATACGTATATATTAACTTCCCATTCGCAACTCTGGGTAAATATGAAGGCGCAATTAGAATAACAGTCGCAAATAAGTTGTAAGTGAGATAAACACTTAAATATCCCTTAAAAAGTCGTGTCATTTTATGTATAGCGGTTTGCCAACAGCCTACATTCTGAGCATGTATTCCAAAACAGTTTTCCGAGTATTCGTGCTATCATTTACGATTTTGAATTGATTTGGATGCGGTACAGTAAGAAAAACAGGATTTGCCTTGGTTTCACCGATACGGGCATCACCTGCTACTGGGCCGATCGATGCCTAATAAATTTAAATAGAATTGGCAGGTATAATCGCAGACATAGCATTTCGATCTCACAAAGAGAACTTTTCTAACGTAAAATTAATTTGTGCTTTTTAAATTTTCGGGATTGCATTCAGTTTCACATCGTTTGCGAAGTATAGCTTAATACTTCGCGAATTTACTGAGGTAACGAGTGTTTGCGCGTTTTTGTCACGTAAAAGTTCGTTTGGGTAACATTTGACTGAGGCAGCATTGTCGAATAAAGTGAACGTCCACAACGGAAGTCAGCAACAAATGCGCTTTAGATCAATTAGAAAACGTTGTTTAATAAGTTATCTCTGTAAGGAGTGCTTCGATACTGCATTCCGTTGATGGATCTCAATGTACTTTGCACATTTGCATGGTAAGGCTAAGAAATAATTTGACACATTTGGCCGTTTCTTTCGCATTTCAAAATAATTCTAATACTTTCCTGTTTATATTGCGGTCACCTGCACTATTTTTGCTCATCTTTAGACTCCGTTCTATGATTTTGGAATGCACTACCTGTAGACACATAAACATAGATATTTTGCTGAAATTGTTAGTATCCTCGTGTGTTTTCTGGTATGCGAACTACAGTTTCAAATTGCCTTGTCTAATTTCCGAGGAGATTGATGCGCGAACCTGGTGTTAATCTCTCAAAGCAGACTTTCTCGGAAACTAAACAAGACAAGTTGAAACGGGTGTTAATATACCAGAAAACACTCGAAAAAGCCGGGGGACCCACTGATGAGCCAGACCCCTCGCAGATGCGTCGGGCAGCGGCACAATATCGGCAAAACACACGTGTTTGGTCTTTTAGCCAATGCCTGTGTTGTTAGCGCGTTAAATAATTACGCATATGTAAAAGTCCTTAGGGAAAGATTTCGAAAGTCTGCAGAATTGGGGTTTCGTGCTCGCAAATCCTGAACGACGGCCATGGCAAAATAAAATGTGTTTCAGTTTAAGCGAGCAAACTACCGAGCCCCAACTCACAAAGCCTGTTCAAAGAAACTGATATGAGAATTTTCGGACGCATTTAACGTTGTTCACTTTTTTCGCGCTCTTCCAGCGCCTTCAATTTTTTGCCGAAATGTGCTTACATAATGTCATCAAGCAAACTATGCATAGTTTGGAACGAAGATTGACGTTGTGATATATGCTGGCGATTTCGTGTGATAGTATCTGTCCTAAACTTCGATTACCAATCTGATCATGTTTTTTTTTTGGAAGGTGGGTAATTCAACCCGGATAGCTCTACTAAACAGTTCTTGTCACGTTTGAAAATTGATTTTTGTGTCTCATGCTAATTGTGCGAATTAGATTGCTGACAATTAGGATGTTTTTAGATAACCAAGACTTGTAACATTTCTAAAAGTCAGGTTGGCAACCCTTCTCGATTCTGTACCCTAAAGTGCAGTATCA